TAGGGTTCGTCCTTGGGCCAACTAAGTGCGCTATGCCAAATTTCATCCAAATCGGATCATAAATGCGACCTGTACTTTGTTCACAAAAATACATGGACGGACGGACATGCGTAAATCGACTCAGAAAGTGATTCTATGCTTAAAATTTCTGAATATAATAATTAATATTTCAATAATATTTTGAATTTGTAATCGAACTTTTAGTTACTTAAAATGGTATAATTTCATTATATGGTAAATTTCAATATGCAATAATCGCTTAATTTAATTTATCGCAGGTAACGAATGAAATATTTGTTTCCAATAAAAACATAAGTGGACCTATGTCCACTAATATCGTATTTTCTATTTGCAATAATGAATAATGTTTGTTTTCATCCAATATCTACTAGAAAAATTAAAATTTCTTTGTGTTTTTGGTCTATTTACGTTGCGCTGGTAAGAATCTGTGATTATACAAAAAGTTTTTTTCAATCCACATTCTTAATTTTTTCAGAAACGATTCTGTATTTAAAAAGTGTTTTTTCTCGAAATCATGATTCACGACTTAGGCGGTTATCGATTGTGACCACAGATTTATCCATTTATTGGTGTTAATGGAGCTAGTTAGAGCCATGAAAGACATTTCTGAAGCAAAATATTTTTCTGTTACCGATCATTCCTTTCCATAGAAGACGTTCATGTAGGGTCTTGTATGGTGATGATGACACGAATAGATGGCGCGGACGATGGGTTTATAAAAATTGCATACCTCATTTAATTTTGCTATAACATTTTTCGTATTGCAGAAATTAATAAAAAAATATATGTCATGTGGAAGGTATAATCGTATAATTTCGTGTGAAATAAATCAAATTTCAAAATTAGTTTCAAAGTTGGGTTTAAAATAATGTAATATTACTTTGAATTGGGCTTGTTTTTAATTCATCGTTGCATTTACTTTCAGTCATTAAAGACTTATAAAAAATATTTGTTTATACGAAAAAATACACTAACATCTAATTTCGAACTTACAAACAAAAATATGTATACGAATTAATTTACAACAATACTAAACACTTTTACAAAAGTGCAACACCTTCATAATGTTAATATTTTTTAGAGAAATATTATTAAAATTATATACTCTATGTATACAAAAATAAACATAAAAATATGAATGGAAAACATGTATTACTTTAGAAAACTATTACAAAAAAATAATTAAAAATAAAAATAATATTATTAGAATATACACAGTTATTTTGTTTTTATTTTTATAAAATTACAAAAAAAATAAACTAGATCTTAGTAACAAAGAAATTATATAAATTCCCTAATAACAATTTTAGGTTTCCAGCCCTCTCCGTTACCCACATCCATTTTTATTATTGCATTTTCTATTCTATTTACTATTCGTACGCATAAATTTGAATTTCCAAAGTTGTCTCCATAGCACAATACTACACTTCAAGAGTCATCTAAATTCCAAATCTCAAGATTCAACCAAATCCAAATTGTTCCAAATTTAGCACCATTTAGTAATTTTTATACTCATATATAAGATTTTCTAAAACTACATAAATCCTACACTCTAAAAATAATCTTAATTCCACCAAAGTTCAAACTGTACCAAATTTAGTACTTTTTGTACTCATAAGTACAAATTTCCAAGTCCAAATTTAAAAATTCCAGCTCTGTATGTTCATTAAAAACAGAATTGTACCAGTTTTAGTACCATTTTGTACTTTTCGTAGCCATATTCCAAACCAGCTTTTAAATAGTAATTGTAAGTCCAAATTTAAACTTTTCAGATCTGTCTGTTTACCTAAAGCCAAGTTGTACCAGATTTGGTACCATTCTGTACTTTTCGTATTTATATTCCAAACTTTTCGTAGACGTAAGTGCGAGTTTCTAAAACTTCCTCAATTCCACATATTTGGTACCATTTAGTACTTTTCAATTCTGTACTTTAACAGTAATTTTATTTTCAAACATAAGTTTTCCATTTCTATCCTTCACTCTAATCTAAATTGTACTAAACTTAAAACCATTTAGTACATATAACTACGCATTTTCAAAACTACCTCCATGTCTCATCCTACACTCCAACCGTAATTTTAATTCCAAAATTTAGGTTTCCGCTCACACCAACGAATTTCACCATATTTAGTGCCATTGCTTCCATAAGTACGAAATTCCAATACAACCTTAATTCTGTAATTTTCATTTCAACTGTAAGTTTTCAATCTCTATCCGTTCGCTTAAATACAAATTGTACCAAATTTAGTACCATTTAGTACACATAAAGACGAATTTTCAAAACCTCCGACATATCTCAATCCTGCACTCCAACTGCAATATTAATTAAACAGTGTAGCATCTCATCCCTATCCGTTCACGCAAAAACAATTTCTAAACTATTTGGTACCATTTAGTACTTTTTGTTTCTATAATTAAGAATTTCCTAAACTATGTCAATCCTACACTCCAACATAAATGTTAATTCCAAAATTCTGAAGTCCAGTTCTATCCGTTCACACATAATCATGTTGTACCAAATATGGTACCATTTAGTACACATAAATACTATGCTTCCATATCTAAATTCCATTATTACAAATTTTAGGTTTCCAGTTCTCTCCGTTCACCCAAATCCAAATTGTACGAAATCTATTGCCGTTTAGTTTTTGTACACATAAATACGAATTTCCAAAGATGTCCTTATAGCATGGTACAATTATAAAAGGTAACAGCAAATCCCAGGTGATTTGATTCCAACGTAATACTAGTGTCAATATGAATTTGACAAATTATGTTTTTAAAAATCACCCAACAGGAAAATTGGGAACGCATACAATTTGAAATTGTTCTTTATTAAATGTGCTCCCGTATTCAATTTACTCAATCTGCCTGCTGGGGAAGTTTCAGGAAGCAAATCTTTCTTCAAGGAATAACTCGCTATTCCCAGCATTTTCATATGTGTTATACATATATGTGGCAATGGCACAATTAAAGGAAAGATGTGGACGCGATAGAAATATAAATTTGAAAGATTTTCATTCATGTTTTTCAATTTTTATTTTGAGGATTCGAAAATATTTCATTTTCAAAATAAAAATAATTTGATGATAATTTGTTTGCTTGTTTACATTTTTCTGTCAAATGAGTTGACACTAGTAGAACTTACAACAACAAATTTCCATGTGGTTGTTGTATCGTTTTTTGTACAACAACACTTGCTGTTACCTTCTATTATTATACCATGTCCTTATAGCTCAATCTTCAATAGTAATATTAATTCCAAATTTCAGGTGTTCAGCTCTATCATTTAAAACAAAATCCAAATTGTACTAAAATTGGTACCATAGTACTTTTCGTAGCAATATTTTGCGTAATGGTAACGAATAATTTTAACCTAAAAGTATCGAAGACAGTCCGTTGCCGCTTTTGCGTTACGAAAACGAACTGATTTTTCATACTAAGTACGGACTGCATAACTGATTTTGCTTGAATTGTATTTGTTTATTATCTTTAAAGTGCGTTGTTAAATAATTTATATTTATAAATATTTTGAAGTTCCCTGCCTCTAAAACTTATAAAAATAAGATGTAACAACCATGGTTAAATCTTGAGAACAATGTTCAGCTTTAGAAAATATTTTTTGTTTATTCTATTGAAAATATGCCAATCGAGACACATAAAATTTTAAGGAATTTATTTTTCATATTACATATTTAAAATGTTCCAAAGTAATAAGGGTTGCAATGATCAAATTCTCAAACGTACTAGAAACGAAACGAACAAAGCAAATGAAAAGTTTGTGACTTTGTGCGATTCGTACGGGTATCGTACTGTTTGTTTACGTTCTCTGCAAATGAGACTACCTCTGTAATTATGCCATGTTGTAGATGTTAATAATACAAAATATGAACCCATAGTTGATGGTGGATATGTATATCGTGTGATTGTGATTTCATGTCAACCAAATAATAATTCGTGGTCGGGTGTTCCAATGGTACAATAACACAAGGTAGGGCAGCTTAAGCTGAATAACAAAAAAGCAACTATTTAGGTGATATACGTAAAATAAATATGTTTATAGTATATTTATAATGCTTTTATAGTATATTTATATAAACATATCTCTTTTTTTATAATAGCCAAAGAATTCATTGAGAATAAATGTAACAATAATAATTCAGTATAAAGAAGTACCGCCTCAGCGATACGTATACGTGCCGCTTTTGCGTTACGAAAACGGAGCACGTTAGTGTTACGTAAACGTACTACTTTAGCTTAAGGCTTTGTCACACGAACCATTAATGTGTACTGTCAGTTTTTCTGTACATACGACATTTTGTATGTATGTAATTGCATCTTAACATACATTTTTGTTTAATTTTTTCCTTTCCACAAATCTCTCAGTCGTCCGGAATTCTCTTATTCCGGATTTAATGTTACGGGTTTAATTGCGTATCGTAAAAGCGGAACGTCTTCGTTGTCTTGTATGAAAAATTGACTTCGCCAGCGATTCGTTTTTTTGCCGTTTTTTTAGAGGGGAAGAATTAAAAATATATCACTACCGTCGACGCTTTTCCTATACGAGCGTATCTAGTTGTGCGGCACGTCGGACTTTAGGCTGTGTCCTTACATATCAGTTTTGTGACAGCTAGCCGGCGAACAGCTGGCCTTATTGGACGAACATATACATAGACCATGCAACAAGCCAAGAAGAGATGGCCAGAATGCCAGGCTAAACAACAAACCAAACTGAGTAGAGCTTCAAAAGAGGCATACGTCAACACACCGTACAACAATAGTGACAAAGTGTAGCTGAAAACTGGATTTGTGACTCTGTGCAAGAGTATAGAGGTGTTTTTCTTCGTGGTGCCATACAAAAAAGATCGACGTCTTCATTAATGAAATCACAACGCGTACGCGACCTTTAATAAGAAAAACTGGATAGACGAATGCTCACCAGTCATCTTTAATCGGAAATAGTCCACAAATTCTCGGTCGAAATGGTATTTCGGTTTCGTTCCTTTTATGGCAAAATAATTACCTTTGCCTTAGTGGCGCTTGTATTCATCCTTTACATCAAAGTCATCCAAGTCGATGAACAGGGAAATAATATAATTTCGGGCTTTGAGAATGTTGCTGCCCTGCGCCAAAGTCACCATCGACACAGCGGCAAGGATAGAGAATTGGAGACAGACGAGAATGAAATCCAAAGACCTCCTCCCCCAGCTCAGAAACCAGACACGCCAGAGTTCACTTCCCCTTTTGAGAGCGAAATTCTTCAAGACATAGCCAGACAAGAACCCGGATTAGGTGATAATGGTGAGGCGGCCTATTTAGTAGGCGAAGCTAAACTACGTGGCGAGGAGATTTACAAAAGAATCGCTCTCAATGAAGAACTCAGTGAACACATAAGCTACAACCGCACTCTGGCGGATTACCGACATCCCCAATGCCTAAAACAGCACTACAATACCGGTGATCTTACAGCCAGTATTGTTATTATATTCTTCAACGAACCATATTCGGTCCTCCTAAGAACAGTTCATAGCTCCCTAAATACGTGTAATGGACGTATGCTGAAACAGGTCATTCTCGTCGATGATGGCAGTACAAATGAGGAGCTGCACGACAAATTGGATTACTATATACGGACAAGGTTTCCACCGGGGAAGGTGATAATGGTGCGCCTGAAAAATCGGTAGGTATTTTCATAACATATATATTTTTTTAATTCTTATTGGCCCAGTTACTTCATAATTCCGCTTGCTTACAAGCATGTACACATACATACAAACGGCCGAGGCGATGAAGACATTCAAGCAGATCAACTTTGGTATTTGACTTGACTGCAGTAAAGGCGTCACAGACGAAACACCGAAAGAGTAGCTTGGGTACATCAGAAAACAAGTCTTCTTCTTTCGACCACGTTTTGAATAACGTTAACTTCATTCGCATTAATAAATATTTAATTCTGTTTTGTTGTGTAGAAGCATTTAGTGGCTACTTGGTAGTGGCTTTCTTGTTTTAAGAGCGGTTTTGGAAACCACAGCGGATTACAAGGCCATTTGTTGGCGTTATGAAGAAATAGTAAATCTTTAACACGTTCGCGGACACTAAAATATTAAAGCAACTTCAAAATAGACAGTCATTTTTTTGAAACTAGTCTAAACTAAGTCGAACTCTGTTCAGATATGTACATATGTAAAGAAAATGTGGCTTTAAAATGTGAATGCTATAGCATTCACGTAAATTTGCATCATTTTCAAAATGACTGCTATAATGTCCGCGAAAGTGTTAATAATAGAAAACAATAGTTGAGAAGTCGAAGGAAAACCCCATTGTATCAATCCTATAAATAGGCGTTCGAGAGAGAAAGAGAATTTTACTCTATTGTTTAATCATCCGATTTAGGGGATACATGCTTAACAAACTATTCCAACTATTATTTATTTTGTAGTTAATGTTTATTGTGGACTGTGTGATGCAGTACCATGTTTTATGTCGATTCCAAGATGTGAAAGGAAAAGTATAGTTTAGTAAGATTTAAAAAATAATTTTTTGTTTCTTTGCTTTCGGGAATATATCTGTAGCCGAAATTAAATCAGCTTAATCCTTTTATTGTATTTCCAGGTTGGGTTTAATCCGAGCACGTTTAGCAGGAGCCCGTGTAGCAACAGGCGATGTTTTAATATTTTTGGATGCACATTGCGAAGCGAATATTGGATGGTGCGAGCCATTGTTACATCGCATAAGAGAGTCGAGAACTAGTGTTTTGGTTCCTATAATCGATGTGATTGATGCGCAGGACTTTAAGTACAACACAAATGGCTACAAATCTTTCCAAGTGGGTGGTTTTCAGTGGTCTGGCCATTTTGATTGGATATCTGTTTCGGAGAGGGAGAGGAAGAGACAGCAGCGAGAGTGCAAAGACCTAGACTTGGACGTCTGCCCAACGTGGAGCCCTACAATGGCAGGGGGTCTTTTTGCCATCGATCGTAGTTATTTCTGGGAAGTTGGCAGTTATGATGAACAGGTACTGTAGTCGGAAAATAATAAATATTACAATTTGATAAATGGATGAATTTGCGTAGATGGATGGCTGGGGTGGAGAAAACTTGGAGATGTCTTTCAGAATATGGCAATGTGGCGGCACAATTGAGACAATACCCTGCTCCAGGGTTGGGCACATCTTTCGAGACTTCCATCCGTATAAGTAAGCTTAATAGATGACACTCAGTAGTGTTGCCTGCCTTTCTATTGACAGTCAACTTTTTATGCCACAGATTTCCCAACAACCGAGATACCCACGGCATTAACACGGCCCGCATGGCCTTGGTTTGGATGGATGACTACATAAACATTTTCTTCTTAAATAGACCAGATTTAAAATTCCATCCCGACATAGGAGATGTTACCCATCGAGTTATGTTGCGCAAGAAATTGAGATGCAAAAATTTCAATTGGTATCTGGAGAACATTTACCCCGAAAAATTTGTCCCCACAAAAAACGTGATAGCTTATGGAAGGTAAGTAGCTAATGTTTTACTAATTCTTTACTACAGCATTCTTCTCCTATGTAGAGTTCGTTCGCTCCATGAAAACATATGTCTGGATGATTTACAACAGAACAATGAAAAACCATACAATTTGGGTGTATACGCCTGCAGCAAAGATATTTCAAAGACGCAGTTCTTCTCTCTTACCAAGAGCAAAGTACTGCGCAATGAATTGAGTTGTGCTACTGTGCAACACAGTGACTTGCCACCATTTCAAATAGTTATGACAAGCTGCTTCGAAAACGACGATCACAATGAAAAGTGGCAATACCTAGGTAACCGACTGAGGCACATACCCACCGGTCTATGTTTAGATCATCGCGGTTTGCATCAAGGTGATTACGTTCAAGTTGCACCCTGCGATCCGTACAGCAGGACACAAAGTTGGACGATAGATCATGGCGAAGATTCATATCTACCCTAGCTGTAATCAGACACGCAACAATTGACCCCGACTATAGACTTCTCTATGTGCGATTTCTTGTAAATATAGTTGTTGACATAATTTCTTAATCATTTAACATTCCCGGAAATTGTCACAAATCGATTATTAAATTTAAAAACTTGTCAAGCGCATTAACCAATTATTTTCCTTCTCAAAAAATTTAATTAGATTTCATTAAGAGTTGTAAATATGTTATGGTAATAATAATTGTATATCTATGTGTATGCAATTTAGTATATATATATATATATACTTATGCGATTCTTATTAAAAATATGCCTTGTTTTTTACATCGGTGTTGTAAAAAACGACACATTGTTGTTACCACAAAATATGCTTAGGGATAAATATCAATTTGTTGATATCGATTCGACGCCGTACTAATCCTAATTATAACATCATTCCGTACAAATCCAGATAACGCAAAATATTGAACTTAATTAAGTTTAACGACTGATATGTGCAATGCGTTTTCTCTTATTAATTTCAACGTCAGGTATTATTTGTGAACACCAGTACTTTAATGAACATTTTAACGTGAAATACTAATGCAAATTTATAAAAATGCTTCCTAAAATAGTCACTAGCTAGAAATTTTGTATTAACAAATTTAAACATAAAAATAGATTATATATCAGATGTTAGGAATATTTTTGTAAGCTATGTACAGAGGACACATCAAGCCTACACATTACTATGCAAATAAACGCACTTATTCATGTAAGTCTAGTAATTAAGTAGCTTTGCTTTGTGGTGCAAGTACTGAACATATATATTATGTACTTCGTCAATTCCAGACTAATATATATGTATATATATTATACAAAAATAAAAGAAAATAACAAAACACTTTACAATAAAACAAGTTTTTCATTCTGTGTATAATTAATATTCCTTTATTTAATATGTCCTTTGTTGTTAATGCTAATACTTTTTTAATTTGTATGTTTGTTACCTTTTTCTTATGCAATATCAACTTTTGTATCATTCATTTATTATTCTTTTTTTTAATATTTTGATATCGAAATAAAAGAGGACTCTTGTGTACTTATTATAATTTACAGCACTGTATTTCTCAAGAATTTAAATAAGATTTACTTTGTTCTCCGTTTTATTAGGGTGTGAGTGTGTAGTGCAATTCATGCAATTCTGTGATATCGGATTGTCTGAAAACTTTTGACCAACGACTCAAAGCAATGCCCAAAGCGGAAATATTAAAGAATGTAATTATGGGAAATATAGTTATGTTGTTGGAATTCCCGTGTTTCAAATATTTATTTTGACTCGACATGTTAAATTTGCTATTTTCATTAACACGTTATTGATTACATCGCTAATTTGCTGCAAGAGTGGCATAACTCAAATAACGTGATTTTCGAGTTCATGATGCACGATTGTTCGCTATAATAGACCTCATGTTGTGTAAAAAATCGTATGCATATCTCTTACACACTCTAATTGTGAAGATGTAGAAGTTCCTCTGTCCCATATTATGTATAAATTGAAAACTTAAAACGCATTTTCGGCAAAATGTTTTTTTTTTAGTTATGCCTATCTTGCAGCAAATGAGCGATATATTAAGCAATATAAAGATCCTATCATTCCGTTAAACTCTTTTTTATGGCAGCAGATTTCTGAAAAATTTCAGTAAACGGTTGTAGCTTTGGCAATTGTTGTTAGATGTGTGTTGCTGGTATTTTGTAAGTATCAAACATCGCTTATCTTTGAAAATTATACGTGTTTGAAACTTATAATATGCTCTTTAATACTTTAGCTTTGTTATGCATTATCCAAATATGCACAAAAGGAAAATTATATTGGTGCAACAAAATTGGATTTTTATTCTTTATCTGACAGTGTTATTTGCTGATTTTAAAATTGCTTTATAAAGCAAGAACTAGTTTTGTACTAAATGTCCTGCATAAAACATACATTTAGGAGTAATGAATGGAGCTAAATTATTTCCAAAATTGAATATCTTCCAATTTAATGCATATCCAGCCTTATTCTGGTAGTAAATTCCCGGGAATTTGTTCTTCCCTTTAGAGTTATTCTGAAAAAACAATTCGCATCGATTTTTTCGCATTTTTAATTTCCCCTTATTCTGAATGAAGTTTGACACAATTAAAAAAATTAAAATGTTAAAAAAAAATCAAGAAAAATATTAAAATATTGAAAATTATTATAGAATTAGATTGCAATGGGCCAATATGCAATAAAGCTTAAATAATAATATGGCAACACGAATCTTTTTTTTTTCGACGACTCCTATTCGAAATTTTCCCTTTATATACAGGAAAAGGTAGCGAGCGAAAGCGAATCATTTTCGTTTGAGAAATCACTTCCTTTCGTCCAGAAAAAGGCTGATCATGCCATTTATTTAACACATGCATGAATTAATTTTCAATATTATGAATATCCAGATATCATTGTGAAGAATTAATAAATTAGGTACACCTGGGTTGCAGCTAGTGTAAATACTAAAAACGGAACTATATATTTGATATGAAAACATTGATAATTTAATACTATACAATTCAGCGGCCATTGTTCTGTTGTGGGAGAATGCAAAGTAAAACTATTTACAATCAATTAAATTAGGCATTTTATTTTGGAGAGGAGCATGTGTTTAATCTTCATACACTTGGCTAGACTTTTGCGACACGTTTTATCTGTAGTTTTTGCGTGAATATTAATAAGGGTAAAGCGTGCGTGTATGGGGATCGTGGCACTTTAATGCACTCATGTTGTAAGCTATAATTATATTTTGAGTAACTTGCAAAATTTGTGCTTAACTTTGTTGTTCTGTGTATGCATTACCGAAAACGAAGTTAAAGACAAGTCGACTACAGTCGCGATAAATCTTACATCTTCATATTCATAAGCACGTGTATTTATATATATATATTATTTAGTTTTTCTTCTTATATCAGAAAATCGAAAATTCGGATGTGGAGGGCAGCATACATACATATATTCACGTAGATGTAAATCGACTCTGTCGAATGCATCTGTTCGTGTTGAACATTCAGAGGATTTCCTTAACAATGACCCACAATGTGTTTCATTTTGAGGGTTTCTTCATAACAAATGGTCACTTTTTGTGGCATAGGGAAATTGATTTTTTTTTTTTACTAATTTTACAATTTAGTAGCTGTCTGGATACGGATGGTTAGATTTATTATTGTTTAAGATCAAAATTGCACATTGTACTTGTGTGTGAGTATATATGAATGAACATATAAAAATATCAAGAAATAGAGTGGTGTATAATTTGTAATGCTCTTCTTTAAAATAATGGAATAAAAAACATTTGGACGTTTTGTAAGATTTGTAATTTTTGCGTTTACTTCAATTTTTGTTAAGAGTGAATTTCAAACATGTTTCGTAGACTATCGGAATATTAGTAAGTATTATTTTGTAATACATATTTTTATTGTTTCAGTAGTCAGTTTTTTCGTCATCAACATGTCCTTCACTTTGGATGGATGCTTACGTAAACGGTATTTTCGTATATATTTGGCTTTTATAATTATATTCTCAACATGTTCAAATTTGTGAATGTGATGAGCGATTATTTATTTGTATCGGTTGCCTTCGTATTTAATTGTTATTCAGTGATTAAAGTAAATATTAAAATATGTATTTATATCTCAAAAGTAGGCTTCAAAGGGTCGGAATTACAGTTGTTTCTTTGCTACTCTAGATTTTCTTCTTAATTTGTCATATATTATAGTGTTTAGTTAGTACTCTACAAACTATACGTCGATCTTGCCGGAGATGCTTCATGAAGCTTAACTAGTATTAAAAAGTCACGGTTTTTCATAAATCGCGCTTCATCTAATGGACTAAAACTAGAATGCCTACTCTTATTAGTTCTTACCACTTGTTCTCCTTTTCTTAAAACTATATTTATTTCCCTCATCTATTAGCTACGAAGGGTCGTGTCTTTACGACATACATATCTCAATATTGCTTGTCTATAATTATGGTACCAAACTAGAAAAAATAGTACTGTAAATGGAGTCATTTCAAATGATTTCAAACATAAAAGGAAAACATTACAAAAAAAGAAAAATTGACGGTCAAATAAAAAAATAATAATAATAAAACAAGATAATTTTTCAAAAATAAAAAAAATATATATTGCACTTAAAAAAAAATAAAATGTCAATAGTTTTATTGCAAAAGTAAAAGGGTACTTTTTAAAGTCAACACTATTCGTCTTGACCACAGATCACATTAAATTATATACATACACTTTAGTACACATAATTTCCGTTTAAATCGTAAGAAGGAATTATAGTTAATAATTGGTGGATATAATTGTTCGTACAACTAAAAATGTATAATACTATAAACGAATAATATTTGCTTTACAAACCTAGCGAAATTTGATTTGCTCTACCCCTTACATTTCATACGGGGAGTTATTTTTTTTATTATTAAATGCCTTGATGACGCGTCAATTAAATTTGGTTAGGACGAAAGTACTGATGTTTTATGACATTGGGTCATGTTGAAAAACGACGACGTTCAAATAAAAATCGCTGTTAGAATATTGTCTAACATCTGGCTAATTCGTTGCTTATATAGAACAGAATACTTAATATAAATGGAATTTAAAATAACACAAAATAAAAGCATCACAATGATAGTATGTAACGTAGAATTACATAATTAGAAGATTTACAATCATTAATAAAACAAATAATAATTATTATTAATATAGAAACAGAACATATTAACTCTAAACTATGAAATAGCGTTCGTCAAAAAAAGTTATTTGTTGTTGTAGTTTTTGCGTTGGTACAAAAACTAGAAAACGTATATAAAAACGGAGGTACATAATATTAAAAGCCCTAAACATAATATACAAATTTGTCTAATACACCGTCCAACTTAAAGGGGATATTAATACGCCTAAATATTTATACAATATATTGAAGCTCGTCTTGCTCGAATTAACGACGGAAGGGGAAATGAGCATCAAATATGAGAGAAGTGAGTATGAGGCGAAACACATACGATTACACGACCTTAGAATTTGTATAGCTATTTCGAAGAAAGCGTCACCTATGCTAGTGCATGACAGACAATGTTTGTGTTTAAATCTAGTACAACAAAAACATATATTAAAGACATGTTTTCGCTTGGAGGAAGCGGATTTGTTCTCGTATATAAAGCAATTTACCCTAAATAGATATTGTTTATACTCGGTCTGGTTTTCTATATTTTGTGTGTGTTTCATTGTTTGTAGTTTCGTATTCTGGCGTCGATCTGCATTTTATGTTGAGCATGATTTGAATATGCTCCATTCAAAATGCCGTTGAGCGTCGATTCGGTCTTTTCGTACTGGGGGTGTTCGCATCGTATGTCGGCATTCTCATTATAGAACATGTGCGTTTAGAAGTGGAAATAGGAGACATCGATTCTGTTACAACAGATGTTGTTCGGCGCATATGTGGGAGTTGGTGCTTTTGATTTGGCACGGAAAATCCATTGGGTGTTGTTGGTGTTGTATAATTTTGCCTTGCACTTGCGATAGTTGCCCATCTCTGCATTTGATGCGAACACTTCGGAAATAATCATTTTCGCCCGCCGGTACCACTCATCGAGTTCAAAGCTTCTCCCCTGCTCTTAGAACGCGGTAATGAGCCTGACTCTGGGATAAATTCAGTTTCAGTATATGCAATTATGTCGGCGGGGAAAGGACTACTTACCTTTGGTCGTTTTTTCTGCCTTGAAGGCTCTCATTGCCTTGCCACGTTTGTCCAGAATTAATTTGTCAAATCTGACGAATATTCCATGCTTTGGTTTGCATTGGAAATATTGAATCCCCTGCACGGTGCCGTCGTTCTTCCCTGTGGGTGTGTCAAGTTCCACGCCAATCCAAGTGCCGGCTTGAAAATGTGTAGTGCCAACATAGGATATTACACCACTTGTGTTGTAGGGCCTAATCAAGACAGATTCTCCAACTGTCACCCAATCAGGTAATGTTATATCAACATGTTTCGATTCGTCTAAAAGGCAGAAAATAAAAAGAATCGTTTTTAATAGTTTAATAGTGTTTGGTTTGTGTTCCTTAATAAATATACATTCAATTTTTGGTGATTTTATTTATAATTAATTTAATCAATCTTAAATTAATTAAATGTTATATATCACTCTATGTATTTTTGTAACATACGCCGTTTACTTAGCTTGGTTAAATTTATCTTCTGAGAAGCAACTTTTTGTGCGTACCTTCGATTTCCATACTGGCACTCATTGAAGAGACGTTGAGATGATCATTAGATGTAGCTGTGGTCAATCCTTCCATTTTTGCTATGGACATTCTTTGCATGACATTTGTGCGATTGTTATTTAAAGTTGTCTCATTACCATTGCTACCACCCTGAGGAGGTGTCTTTTTTCTCCGTACAACTTTCCCGGCCGGCAGTACAGTTTTCACAACACCTGTACCTTCTACGATTTCGTTTCCATTTTGATTGTCTGTGGCATTGAATGGCGAATTGTTGTTATTGTTTGGGATACTAACAGTTCTGTCGTTGTCCACAGCATTCTTGTGTATGGTTTCATTTTTACCAACAGTACTGTCTTGTTCCTGTCCTGGTTCATTCAACTCGTCATTCGATGTATTATACCGAGTAGTGGGTTGAATTGTGTCCATGATACCTTGTTGTGTTAACTTCGCGTGAACGTTACTGACATCGGTCACTGCGTCTACTTTTGGCATGTGATTTGTTGTAGAGTCATTAGTGATTATTTGTGATTTGGGTTGTTGTTCCGGCAATCGGTTGTTTGCGAAAACAGTTTCAACCGTCTGGCTACTATTTGGCATGTCCTTGAGGAATGGATTTACACGATGTGTTGCCGCACGGTTTGGCGGAGAATTTGAATTGATACGATCAAAATCTGAAAGCAGAAGAAGTTAGAAGTTAGCCACAGTTATGCTACTAAATAGTATATTCTTTTGGCAAATTTCGCTTTAAAGTTCCCACCGTACATTTACCTGGGGTATCGTCGATACTCATGGAACGCATTGACGCAATATCGTCGTTAGTTAGGTTAGTACACGAGACAGCCTGTAAGTAATATATGATGCTTATTTGTTAAACGATTAGTGTAAGGGAGATTTTATTTACTTGTGAACCATAGCCACTGGACGTGGAAGAGCTCATGCTTGGGGTTGCTAATCCAGTCAGATGCTTTAAATTTGTATTCACATTTGACGTATAGCTCAAATAGCTGTGGTTTGAATGGGAACTGACATCCATAAATGAATCCATAGTTTTCGACGTGGTAAGTCTAGATCGAGGTGTCTGATAGCTGCTGTTTAGTCGGTGCTGTTTATCCACATCATAATCGTGATTGTATTCCGAGTCACTCATGCTGTCTTCGGGTTCTTCAGCTAGTGAGCGATTGCCACCCAAAGGTTCTTCATGCAATGTGGTCATACGCATGCCCATCAACTTGCTTGTGGCTGGTGATGCTACAATTCAAAGAAACCGTAACAATTAGATAACATATCCTAGATGTATTTCACGAAGATATATGATGCAAGTCAACATTTAATAAACCTACGTTTTGTTGGCTGTGTTCTTAGTGAATTTGAATTCAAATTCAAATTTAAGAACGTTGGACGTGCTGCATTCCCAAGGAAGAAATATTCAATACATACAGTTGATTAGCATTTTATTAGTTAAATACATAACACAGTAAGCAGAAACTAAAAACTAAAACACAAACTAAACGACGAGGTGATCTCATTGAAACATATGTTTCCTTAGCGCCATATCAGGATCAGCACAGTGTGCGGATTTCTTTAAAATTAATAGCAATCTAAGTGTACTAAGGCCAAGTGCAAAACTAGGTGCTAATTGTGATTGCTTTACCCTCTCTAAAGAGCATGCCGGTATTAAAAATTTCATAGTATGACATATACTGTCCCCTTAAGTTTCCTACAATGCAGACGTTATTGAGAGTTGCCGATTGTTTTCTGGACCAAAAAGTTCGACGAGTGCGGAAATTTTTCATTTAAATAAAAAAATAATTTTTGGATTATATGGAAAGTGAATACACGGCGTATCATAACTATAGCCGCACCTCTAATTCAATTGGTATGTTAGTTGACAAATAAAATGGACCCATTAAGTTATGGTTCACAATAAAACGATCAAAAACACATATTATTCAACAAAAATAATTAATTTATTCTTTATGGTTTCGCCGAATTCTGCACTTTCAAAATTTCTGGTGTTGCATAACTATAGACGCACCTATACAAAATTAGAAGAATGTATTTTTTAAAACTTAAATAAAATAACTTTTACAAATAAAGAGCCTGCCTCCCTTATGTATCAAATTTTTCATCGATTGACCGCCATTCATCGATAATCACTTCTTGGAGGTAAAATAAACTTTGGTATTGGCGGTTTTTTGCATAGACACGATGAGTCAAGATTACACATATGTTCTCGATTTTCGATAAATTCTCTCAATTGTTAGAGATGAGACAAAATTCTTGGTGATTCAGAGAGTGATTCGAATTGAACAACGAACAAAAGTCGGTGTTCGCTCAGGCAATTTTGTATGGGGAACTAAGTAATTACTTCATAATTAAGGGTCGAACAACGAATCAGTGTATTGATTTGAAATTAAATTGTGCAAACATTGTTTTAGCTTGGTAGCTTCAATGGACGTACCGTTTGATCAGGCGTATATAGCGTATTGACGTACTAGTTATTTGATATCGGACGATAATATATGCGGCAAGATTTATTCAAATCTGAATCAAGTTTTACCAATTCCAAGGATCACACATATAATGTATGCAACAATTGATATCAATAGGACAATAAATTCGGTTTTTACAATTTATATGAAACTGGTTACATACAACCCGCTAATAAAGATTCAAGACACATACTAGGTTTGTTGGATAGTCCAATAATTTGTAGCATTTTGTACAAATTGTTTAGAGTATCTTTTGAAAAAAAAAAATAATAATATATATATATTAACGTAGTTTATCTTATTGATAACTCATCATTTCACATTTAACAGTGGTCTTTTTATATGTTCTCTCAAGTGTCTGCATTAATACCAACCGTCGGCATTGTTTAACAAATAGTTTTACAGTAACTCTAACAAAACAAAAACATAACACTTTCGCCAAAAACAACAACGACAGTTGATAAAGGTTACATAACAAGGGTACATGTCACTTTAGAAGAACAATATATTTAGCATCGTGTTCTAACCTTTACGGTTTCCTTTCTAATAAGTCGGAATAGTAAAATGGCATAACAAGCGGCAAGCAAAAACTAATTATGGAGTTACGATGATCTGATATGAATATGACACAAACTCAAATAATTACATAAATAAGTACAGGAACTAGAATATAGTGCGTTCAGTGCATTCATTTCTATTATCTAGACTTTCGAACACACAAAAACAATAAATCAAGACAATATACATATATATATATATATATGGTAGAATGTCTTATGCAGTACATGGCTGATTGATGTGGTAGACGATGATAGTTCGAACGATTATTTCAGATGAATATATTTGATGGTTTTGAAGCAATGCAAGTGGATGATGGTTTAGATCATGAATTTTCTAGATGATGAAATACGATCGGTAACAACACAATTGGTTAAAACTTGGAAAAAAATTTAAAATTGAACTAAATGACAGTTTGTTAGGTTTTTTTTTATAGAAAAAATACAAAGACAGAGTTCAATAGACATAAACGGAGGGTAACAAACGACAGTGTGTTTTAAGACTGGTTACAACCAAACAGACAAACTCATATATTTTAACTGTGTATACGTAAACAATATATGACCGAGAGCTGAACATGAGCAACCCTCAGACAGGAAAGATGTTTCTCAAAACACAAAACAAACAATTAGGAGGGCTCATTCGTTTCGAGTTCGGAAACGGAGGACCATGTTTCCTTGTGACCCTCTCTGTGGGTAAACAAAACAATGAAATCAAACATAGTGTTTAAGAATAAAAAAAAAATGCAGAACGAGCGTCTCATAACAATGGAACGATTGTAACGAAGAATAAAACCAAAATTGTCCAGTAATAATTTATAGAACCAGTGTTTAGTGTTGCCAACAAAAAAGTTTTAATATGCTTTTGAACTTTGGGTTGTACTGTTTTCTAACAACTTTATTGTTTGTATATTAGATTCATTTTTTCGTCAAATTCTAGCATTTTTTGTATTACCTGACAAATAGGAACCTGTGGTGGTTGCGCATTTGTTGTGAAGTTTTGAGAATTGAGAATATACATAAACATTATTTTATGTCAGAAATAAGAAAGAAAATGCCACCGAGAACAACAACAATCAAAATCCAATACTTTGTTTGTTTGCGTACCGGTGTCAAAATAATAATCAAGGCGATGACAAACAAAATTATAAACAAAATTTAATAACAATAAAAAGTGAAAGGGAAAATTGAAAAATATTTGGATAGGATATCAGATGTGACCTCAGTACCAGATGTGAGTTTATATAGTGAAGCATGAGCAATGATTAGCATGTAATGAGGGAAACGCTCTATCTATAACCTTGAAAAACTGTCGAATTTGTCCGAAATATACTTGTTACTGATACAGATCCAAACAAACCAAAGATTATTTCGAATAAAATAAAATTGGTATCGACAACTACTAAAAGTTACAGAAAGGCAGTTCTGAAAAAAACACTATCGAAATCGCTGAATATGTGAATGTATAGGTGTGCTAAAGTGTAGTGATCTTTCTATCCAATGTTTTCGATCGGGATTTGATTTATTATTATTTAAAAAATTGAGTACATTCAAAAAAAAGCTACAATTGCAATAAAGCAGCCGATTCTTTTTTTAGCGATAGCCGTGTTTACAAAGGTGGTTGCTTAAGTTTTCATCAAAATGAACAAAAGCTTGAGCAAAGTGTTTTTTGGATGTGGCGTTAAACGTACCGAAAAATGTTAGTGTGTATCATAATAATGAGGAAACCAAAAAATAAGAGAATTTGTAGTGCATCAGATGAAGATTCTATTTTAAATGAACTATAGATTCTGCGAAAAAAAAACAATTCTAAATAATATGATCATCTAAATATGATAAAACATTAGACGTTGGATGATTTTAAATATATTTTCAAAATAATGTTAAACTAGGCTATTGTTATTAAGACACGAAAATTTATCCGGTTGAAGAAAAAACTACATACTCGTAAATGCACGTGTGACGCCAGTATTTGTTTATAACTTTTAAAAGTAACAAATCGAAGAAGACAGTTCGGACGTCAAATTTATAATTAATGTGACAAGGATTAAACATATTCAACATGGCCTCTTAAGAATCTATAGTTGTTATAAATGAATTTCAAAAAAGTTACCAGGATAGTATTCAGAATTCGAGTAGTCACAAGACATATTGTATTGTACCATATTCGGTACGCTTTTTTGTGTGACCCGAAGAAAGTCAAGGTTGTCATGCGTTCTACAAGATAGGTGAATTTATATTTTTCAATTTTTGTTTGTTTTGTTTTTAGAATAAAAATAAATACTTTTGAGCATGTAATATGTTAAACAATGTCAATTGAACCAAAACAATCTACTGTTATTGTTTCCACGACAAAGGGGTCTACGATCCGAAATGAACCGAGTGTTTCTCGGCCAACGTCTGTCACCTCAGCCCATTTTGTAGAAGCAATAGGACTGCTACAACAATAACAACTGTTATTGATCTTGTGGTATTCCACAAAAAAAAAAACTAATGCTACCGACATTTCATTAGGACCAATCGTCACTAATATACTTGTTGCTGGCGATGTTAATGGCAAATTAAAAATTTAATAAATGGAATATGCATTATCAGATTATTAATCGTATTATTGCAATTAAGATAATAAGTATGAATATAAAATTTGACAATAAAAAACAAATCAAAAGTTTTTGAATAGAAAACATTGAAAGGAACTTACCAATTCCAAAGGGTTTGCCCGGGGAGTCATCGTTGCTACCTTTACCGCCGAAACTGTGACGGGATCGAGCATTGAAGTCCCGCATACCAACAGGAGTGGTTTGCACTACAAATTTATAGAAAAAAATCAATATTTATGGCCGTTTTATATATAACACACTCCTAAGTGTACATTACCTTGTGGAATAAATTTAGAGCCTAGTGACTGATTCAAATCCACGAATGATTCGGATCGTCCCACATTCAAGAGTGATTCCATAGATGCGTCAAAGCCCATGATCTGTTGCGAAAATTATAAATATACATTTATAGTTTAATCAATTGATAGGAAGAACGTGAAGTGAAACGTGAGAGGAAATGACACGGAAAACAAATTAACCCACACACGGCATAATTTTAAAGAAACAGAGTTGTTATATAAAAGACGGAAATGAAAATTCAAATCAACAAAATAGGAATATGAAAATGTTCTATTAAGCAACTGGTTGGAGTACTTACTGTTCCAGGATTGGGTGTATCTTTAACCGCCTGATCATTACTCATTACAAATGTTATAGTGCGGTTTATTTATTCAGATTTGATTTTGGTTAACGATTTTTGTTAGGGTGTATCAACAACAGATTGGATTAATTTTGACACGATAGAGGTGGTGAGCAGAGGTGAATTTTATAGATCGGGTTATTATCAAATTAATGTTTGATTTGGTTAGATTTGTGGTGAATATTTTCGATACAAATTGGTGGTGGTCACACAACATACACATTGAATATATTATTTGTTCATATGATGAAAGTGAAAGCACAAAAGAAGTGAAAGAAAGAATAATTTCAGAAAAATACGAATTGAGAGTTATGTTTCATTTAAAATATATACGGCACGGTACAATACAAAGAAAATACTCGTAAGCAAATGTAGAGACAGGAGTGTGTAAGTAGAACATTGTGTATAGAAATGTGTTAGGCAGAGCCAGAGATGCGGCGGAGTGATCCGCAGCTGCATTGACGAGTTTCCCACAAACACATGGAGTGGATACATTACCTGCGAAAAGTTAGGTACGCTGACAGTCTTGCGAATGGACAATGGTTGACCATGGGCCGTTTCCAATTCTTTGACCGCCACGTTTTGTCTTAAACGGTCCAGGGTTAGAATACTCTCAACTGCTGAGACGCCTCGCGTGTACTTTTCTGAAATGCAACACGAATTAGCGCTGTACAAAAAGGGTGATTCCTAATGTTTTACCTATATATGTTTCGCCATCACTAGCGGAGCAATCATCTCCACTTGCCGCCAGTTGGGCTAGTGATTCCCGATCTTCCAACTCTTCGGAGGCCTTTGGTATATTGGAAACTACTTCGTATGTTACGCCCGTACTGGGAATTGCAGTGTCGATTCGTACTAGACGGAATTTTTTTAGGCGGTCCGTAATGCTTGGTCCTTTTTTAATGTTGATGCAAAGGCGCTTTCTCAGCACCAAGTCCATGGGAGCGGGATGAGAAAGGCGCACTGTTGTTCGTAAGATCAAGTAGACTCGCTCGTTGGCCTCAGTAACACGATTGAGAGCAGGACTGTCATGCATAGAGGAATCCCAACTAGCAATGGCACACACATCTTTGTCTAGGTGCTGTAGAATTTGCAGAGTGTAGAACTTATGTCCATGTTCCTTGGATAGTATGGAGTTTATGCCCGCAATGGAGAAATCGTCGTTTGTGTTTTGAGCCGAGAGATCGTCAGCGTTTAGATTGAGGAATAAAACGGGGACATGTGGCTCCATTCCTGAAGGTGGATCCCACGAAGCTGGTGCGCCAGGTATCCCCGAGCCCGGTGCAGGAACTAATACTGCATTACGCTCCTCTGTCAGCGATACCCATTGGTGAACTAGACTTAACTCACGCTCTCGTTCCTCTTCTGTCTTGTCCTCTTTTTTAATAAGCTTTTGAATTTGTTGATCTAAATATTGACGCCTACGACCCAGGGCTTCACTCCATTTCTCTCGCAGAATAGTCAAATCTTCCTCTTGGTACGAATCCAGTGGACGCTGCAAACGCGAGCGTACACTTACACTTCCGATCGATATGTTCACAATGGATTGACATATAATAGGCAATGTTCCGGAATTCTGAACAGGCTTTACACGGACATGGACGCGTCGTTGCTGCCCTTGACGCAATTGGTAAATGCCGCCAGTGAGGACTTCAGTCCGGTTACTAACTTCAACTGGCCCGTATTCTCCGTTATCGTTCAATTCGTGAATTTCAACCCACAATTCAATTTTCCGTGATAATTCTGCCCAGCGATCGACTAATGACCGGGCTTTGGCTTGCTGCTGCTCAACTTCCCACCCCTTCGACTTTGAAAATCCGGCACTTCTATGTCCCCACACTTCGATGGATAAAGCCCCCTCTATACAGTGCTCCAGAAATTCTTCATTTATTGGTACCGTGAAGTCTTTGGTATGATCAAACTTAAAGACCATATTTTGATCTCGGGGTGTGGTCTCAGCGTTAATTACCGGTACCACTGTTTCTTGATGTCCCCAGAACGTGTACTGACAGAACACAAAATTCGACAACGACAGAGGCAAACCAGAGGCACATTTAATAGTCACCCGGCATGTTATCTGATTTGCCATTGGATCAGGAGCATCGTCGTAGTCATCACGCGAATCAGACGATGATTCCGAAACGGATTCACACATTCGGTCTTGTGGCATTTGCCCAGCAATACGTTGTATTTCGACTTGAAGTCGGCCAGCAACTTCGCCTTGTTGACTGATGATGGGAGTGTGGTAGTCCAACTTAACATCGTGGAATAGAACCTCGAGGAAGATGTTGGCAACTCCGATCAAATTGTGGTTTTCCTGCGACTCGTAGAATGGATCCAACGACTTGGAGTTTTCGTTTTCCTACAAACAAGTTAGAATAAATTCTGTTTAGATACATTCAATACGGGGCTCAAATTAAAAAGAGATAAGCTCATGTTGCTTTTGAATTACCTCGTCCGAATCTTCCTCATATGAGAATGTCTCAATAAGAGTCTTTTTGGTGAGCAATGATTGAAAGAGAGTTATATGTGAAAACATTGTTGTTGTTATATGTTTGTGTTCAAGGTGTTTAAACCGGGTGTTCGATAAATTGTGCATATAAAGAGTGTTAAGTGTTTCATGCCATTAGTTTTGTAAATCACGGTTGGTCCCCATTATTTACATATGATTGGACGCGCCGTGATATACAAGATAATGATAAGATTTATAAATTTCCTCACTTACCAATCCGTTGAGAATCCGCTCCTTGTGTTCCTGGTACATTTCTCGCATATCAATTAATTTATTTTCCAGTTTTTCCATACTCCAGATCTGACTCCCAGAATTTGTCCGTTTCACTAATATTGCAGGTTCGCTGACAAAAGCGCCACGCTAAAGGAACATAATGTATGTCAGCACATTGTATAGAGTTAAATCCATACACTTACCCTACGGTTGGGGCTAAGATTTGCTGGCGGTATTTGAAGTGTGACAGAAAACTTAGTTTTCTTCTCCATTTCTTCGGCAAGGAAATTGGCTTCTTGAACTAATGCATTTGCTCTCATTATGTCATTCTTTAATTGGCCCAGTGATCGTTTAAACATCTCGTCACGCTCCTGTGCCCATTTCTCCACTCGCATCTGCGAAGTGGGGGTGTTTGGGGTAATCTTGCCCAAGCGCAGTGGGTCATACGGTGTATATGGAGCGTATGGTGTGCTGGGCGAAAGGATGTTGCGCAGTTGTTGGAATTGCCGCTCGTATTCCTGAGATAAAAAAATACACTGCCACACGTGAATATTTTAGGGAAGATATCAATTCATACCTGTCTTTGTTTTTCTAAAGCAACTTGTTTATCCTCTTCGTGCTGTTTCTCCAGTCTTGCTATTGCAGTCTGAATGGGGTCGTTGCTTAGTTCATTTTGCATGATTTCGTCACGTGCAAAATTATAGTCAATAAGTTGAGCTGGTGTTTGAGGCTCCGAGTTCATGTTGGCACTCGCTGATTTGGGACAGTTGACACGGAAAAAGTGGTGATTGCCCCACAAAATCCGATCGCCATTATGCAGCGGCACCTTATCTATGACAGCTGTGCCATTCACAAAGCAACGTGCGCCCGGGAATGGCTCCAAAAACAAACCACCATCAACAATGGTGATGACACAGTGCTCTGGCTGAATACCCAAGCCGGAGAGTTGAATGTCGGGCTGGGGACCACTCATGGTATGTCCACCAATCAAAGTTCTTTCTTTAAGGTAGTAAACTAACAACTCATTGAGGGACGGATCCGCATTTAAATTGACCAAATAATATTTATTCTTCTCAACCATTATACCACTGGCCTGAACACTTATACCCATTTTCTCCAATGCTTGTTGACGTTCGTTTTGTATGCGCTCTGTTGTCACAAGTTTCTCTTCCCAAGTTTGCGAGATCTGTTTCATCAAATTCTCGCTTTCAGCCAATTTGTCATTAATATCGCCCACGGGCGATCCTGTAGCATGCTTAAGCATGTTCCGCAGTGTTTCAACCTCATGGCGCAATTCGCGAATAATACGTGCATTCGGATCTTCATTGACAACTGCGTGATTGACAATGCGCTTAGCACGGTCCGCATACCGTAGCGTAGAAAGAGTTTCTTCGAAATTGTCCGCAGACGGAGAAATGGTAGCAACCATAACTGTTTTTGAATTGCCGCCCAAATTGTCCTTTAAAAGCCATGTCAGTACTGAGTCCCTATAGGGAACAAATTTATCATTTGCTCCTTTTTTCCCATTGGACTGATCGGCAAGTTTAGAAATGACCAAACCGAGTGTAGTCAGCGATCTACGATGTAATATTTTAAAAATGATATTTAAATAGTCTTGAATTGCAGTTTAAGCTTTCATTCTTACTTGTTTATATTTGAGCCCTCCTTGAGTCGATCTCCCACAGCACCAGTTTTGACCGCTCTTTCCGAGCCGGCTAAATCGACCAGGGACATACGGGATACCTTTTCGCCAGTCACGCCAGATGCCTGATCAGTCAGTATCTGTGTTAAAACCACCGAGAAAACAGCATGGGATCTGGAGGATTCTGCATTCATGTTCGTCGCAGCCACCGTTCGTGATTTATTACCCTCGGTCATCAGATTATCGATGTCCATATAGGACGCAACGGCTAGTTGTGACAGACCATCAACGTACGGTCCCATGACATTGTGTTCCCGAACTTTCAATGATTGCTTGTTTGGTTTCGGATCCAAAAGGTCGTGTACCTTTTCATTGTAAATTTCCATATAGGAGACTTCCACCTTGTACATTAGATCTTGAGTAGTTTTACTAGCAATGGCTGAGAACAAATTGTCACACAAGCGCGGGATGATGCCCTTGGATTCTTGTGAGCCCATCATTGTGTATGATTTACCAGACCCTACAAAACAAACAGATCTGCAATACAATCAATGACGGTTAAATATTTGTGCGCCTTACCTGTCTGTCCGTAAGCGAATATACAAGCGTTATAGCCTTGAAATGCATTATCCAGAATATCCCGACCTAGGCAATCAAATACGGTTTCTTGTGATGCATATTTCTCGTCCTCGGGATTTAATGAGTAAAAACAGTGATCAAAGGCAAATGTCTTTGGTGGTTTCCGGCTACAAAATAAAAATTCTCTATAAGTAACATTGTGCCCTTGAATTATATATTGTCCAAACCTTTCAATTTTATCTATCGCCGGAGGATTGTGAAGTATGGTCTGGTGTTTGTCCATCTCTACAATGCATTTTGTTCCAAGTTCCAATTCTAAAAATACGCAATTAATCTCGATGAATAATAAATACAGTGACAAAAAATGTAGATTGTATTTTTAGCATATATATATATATATATAAATACAAAATTTACACATGCGATGCCAATACATCTTTGAACTGTTTCTTTAATAATCCATATGTGTACGAATAGGGAAAGGGATGTAGACAAGAGAAATAAAACTGTAACATAGTTGTATATGAAAAGTGATACTAAGATTCATCGTATACCAGTGTAATGAGAAATATATGCATTTAAATGTGGAACAATACTGTCTGCTATCGTCGTGTTTGAATGTACCTAAGATCAATTATAATTAATGTAAACACAAACAACAAATTTGGTAATTCCTGAAGTCGCACATAGTTCGAATACATAAATATTACCAATTGTTATAAGCTCATAATAAAGTACTAAGTCCGATAATAAAATACAACTTGAGTGGTGCTACACGTTAGTAGTCATGATTTTACCTTAACATCTTTAACCTTTATATTAACCCGGGCAACAATACGGGAACAGATTAAGTCGGAAGCGGATTTTTTTGTTTAACATTATTCCGTCCATAGGAATAGCGAATAGTTGACTGTATGTAAATTATGTCGACTACTGCTACATGTAGCCTATACCAATTGCGAACGGAAGTGAACGTATGAAACTGCATTGTGCTAAAATTAATTTCTAAAATTGTAGACTTTTCTTAAGATATTTGCTTAGAATCATTGTAAGAAATCGACTGATTGTATATAATGTCATTAACATTTGTATTATAGACATAGCGATTAACTAATAGTTAGCTGAAACACTTCAAACTCATGGATGTTGTCACTTTGGGGGTAATCAAATGGCTTCAAATAACCAATTGCTTACTTTAGTAATTAAGGAGCGTATATATACCGCTAAACACCACCCTAAAACAATGACTATCTAACATGAAAGTAGAAAAGGTTAAGTAGTGTCAATAAAAATTTCTATTGTTGACCTGACCAACCATCACTACTTTTGCGTTATAATGCCCATGGCGGACTCTTATGGTTTGAGTGAATACCATATTTAAATGAAACAAAAATATACTGTTATCACAAAACAATAAGTAGAAAATAGAAAGTGTGTGTAGAGTTTCCTGAACGATTTTTATTCATTGCTGTAGTTTCTTCTCATTAGATCTCGATGTTTCCCAGCAAGCAAAAAATGTTTCACATGCGTGTCATCTAGTCGTTGGACAGGTAGGGCAGGTCGTCTAGGGATGGGGGAATTGTAGTGGAGTTTCTGTTTTAATCTTATGGACTCTCAAATATACATATATATGTAGATGATACCAACAGTTCGGCTATTAAAAAAATATTATAATGACTTCTCTTCTACTGTGTTTTGCATAAACATAATACATAGTAAAACAACAAGAAAAACCTGTAGTTTTATATTCTGGCGATAGACCAGCTCTAAGACACAAGAAAATGACAGAAGAGCCCAAAATTAACGGACAAGAGACTCATAAGAAGTACACATTTGTGTTCATCGGACACAGATCAGTTCGTTGAGTCAATGGTCGCGTCGCTGGTGTGTAAGCAATTATATCACTAATGGTAATGTCAGCCAAAACTCGTCATCAGATTCTGATATATTTGTAATCAGAAGTGTATGTTACTGTCACTGATTGGACGATTGTTAATCACACACCGTATCAACCTGCTGATATCACCTCCGCAGGTTGGAGGTCATTGAAGAAACAACTTACAAACTTATTGTGAAATGTTTATAATAAATATTAGTAATGTTTTCCGATAATGTCCGTTTCAGACAAACAAATTTTAAAATATGAATTAACTTGTAATATTATGCGAAAATTGTTCAAATTATATAATGGGATAAGGTTCCAATGTCACAGTCCTTAACACTCAAGGAAACGATATGACTCGGTTTGAGTACTATTTATGATTACTAAAATAACATTCAATTTTTATTTTTCGAATTGTTCTTTTTTTACTATATAGTTTTTTATGTAAGAAAGAATTTTAAGTATTTCTGTAGGATTGAGTGAGTGTTTTTGGATTACATTGTACTATAATTTAAATATTAAAAAATGTGCTACCGGATTTAAAAAACTGTTAAAAAACTCTCCGCAGGGCTCAAAGCGCTCACTTTAAAAGTTAAAGAAAGAAGTTATTGAAGATTATCCAAGGTATATATATTTCGTTCAAAGGATTTTTAAGTTATGTTTAAATGCAAAATATAACGACTACTGTTATATGTAAAGCGACAAAATTATTATTAGTGTTTCAAAGTGAAAACATGTTGGCAGTATTTGCAAATTCAAATTTTCCTCATGTATTAGATTGAATAATACAATTTGGTGTAATTTACATCTTGTTTTAGTTGTTTCAAAATCTCCAAACATTCAGCCAGACGACTGACTGCTTCTGGATATAAAATATGGTCATAAACACACATTTATTTTGCAATTATATGTTTGAGAATATAGAAAGACTCCTAACACAATCGTAACATCTTCCAACAAAAGCTGAACAGAAAAGAAGAGCAGCAGTTAAGTCATCCACTTTCGTAACATTACGAACGAACGTACAAAAAATAAATACTAGTAATGAAAAATATATATTTTTTTATTTTTTCGCTACTAATGTATGTTGGTTTGCTTTCGGAATTGTACAAATATGAATGTTAAAAGTTTTCATTGCCATAACATTTCATAGTTTTGGACTGGGAATAGAGATATTAGCTAACAGAGAGCGCGACAAAGCCCGCGATTAATGCACAATGTTATAAAAACACGAACACACACACAGCGATAATAAAAAACGAAAACAAAAAGTACTTTTCGTGGGAATGATCGTTTCGATGGAGGCTCCTCCGTCATATGAATGAGATATGAGTCAGTGTGTTGACGTTTGTACGCGTTTGGCTCTTTTGTTTTTGTTTTGTTGGGTGTCACAGCCAGTGTGGCCAAAACTTCGTTGAGGAAAAATGCTAGATATTGTTGAAAAAAAAATGCTAGAAAGTGCTAAAAAATTTAAAAAAGTGCCAGAAAAAAGTGCTAACAATTTCTAGAACAAAATTGTGAATATTTAATAATGAAATAATCAGAAACCCCATTTATTCTTAACGGTTATTCGTTGTCGATTTAACCATGTCCGTCCGATTGAGGTCGCAATATTTAAGACAGAGAAATGGAATACATCGGTCGTTTTTGGGTACACCATACCCCAATATTTGTTTTTTAAGCTTTTAGGCATATTTTTCAACCTAAATTACTGTATATTTGTATATTGTGTTCTACCTGGATATATAGTCTTCTTACTAGAACTTATCAATATTGGTCCACTCTTAAGGGTAACCCTCATCAATTGCATTGGTTTTAATTTTGTTGAGTAAAAAATCTCCTTATCAAAAATTATTAATATGGGTCCATATTTAGGGGTAGCCCCCAGAGAGCGGTACCCTCCCCATTATTCGACATTTTGGGAACGTCGGACACGCAACCGAATTGACTAAATTGTTTCTATTTTTGTTTTGATGGGGTTTGAAGTCTTCCTACTAAAATATAAATACTAATAATGTCAAAATTTGGTTAAGGTAAATAGCTGTAATTTCACATTGCGTACAAATATGAAGACAACTATCAATTTTCGCCCTATTTGCGTACTTTTAAGTTAATATAAAAAAATATGTTTGCCGGAATTTTTCTATTTTGGTCTTTATTCTGGCACAATCCCAATATAAAGGGGTACGCTCGCCTTTTCGGTAATCTAAAGTGGTTATACCTTGGCATTCATGATTCCCGCTGAATTAAAAACTTGTTTTCAGAAAGTTCCAATATAATTCATGTTCATTATTATTACATCGCTCTCATAAAATGTACAACTTAATTTAGTTTTTCATTTTCCCAAACAAACAATCTACCAACAGATAATGTCATAGTCACCCCATGAAGTACCCGACCATTTTTTAAGAAATTTGGAATGCACGGCACATGCTGGATAGCATTGGAAAATTAAATTCATCGCGTAAAACATAGCGAAAATTCAATGTGTCAATATTAAATCGAAAAACGGGATTTTTTTGGATTGAAACCAATTTTGTAAAAAAATTCCAAAAAAATTAAAAAATGCTAAAAAAAAAGTGCTAGGTGCTAGATCAATTTTTTTGGTGCTAACCGAGTTCAAAAAGTGCTAAATTGGCATCACTGGTCACAGCACAGAACTGCTAGTTTCAAGACCATATCGCAAATCACTTCAGACATGCTAAGTTAAAGATGGTAAATTAATTTGAGACTATTTTCTGGAAAACTATAAAAAATGATATGATATGTGGTGTATTGGGAAGTATTTATTTGAATTTAAAAGCATCCCATTCCCTATAGTTCCCGTTTGGCAGAAAACTCAAGAAATCTGACATTTTTTAAAATAATAAAATAACAATATAAGTGTAAACTGGAACTTACCACGGCGGTTAAAGGGTCGCACCCTGACAGCTACTTTGATCTTATCTGTTGACATTGTGAATGGCAAGCTGGCGTTGCGGGAGGAGTTATGTTCAAGATAGATACGTACTTGTAGTAGTTTTTATATACTAGGAAATAGTGTGGAAAATAGTGGTTAGGATAGGGTATGTCTAGCGTGCAAAAGGCATTGAGTACACATAAACAAACAGTCTAATTTTTCCTTTCGTATATAGTCTCACTAGGTGACGGTGTATGTTCATTGGCGAAATGAGACGCCACTCAGCAAAGACCCAAAACACGAATGAATCGACAACAAATAAAATGTTTCCTCTCCCTTCGTATTAGCCTCGCCGAACGTAGGACTTCTTGTCGGGCATGAGAAAAAAAGCACACACACACAACTCTATTCGTTTTTGCTTTCCTTCAATGATTTTCTTTTCCGTTGTAGCAGTTTTCTAAGTAGGACGTGTTGTTTTTTTTAGTTTCTGTTATTTTGCTGCGAACTACGATGTGATAGTGTGTGGTTGTTGATGGCTTCCGTGGTCGGTTGACTGGTAGTTTTATTCTTGCCCCCAACAAAAACACAATTCGTATCGTTATTGTTGGCTATTTTCCTGGATTGAAGTTAAAAAACGGTTGTCGCTCTCTTTAAGGTACACAAATTGACAGCTCCGCGTCTCTGCTGCTAAACCGAGTCCCAATGAAAACGTTATTAAATATCGTGATAGGCCGGACGACTGTATTGTCAGAAATCATGTAACCCCCAACACAGGAAGTTGTAAAGCCGTACAATGGATAGGGACTCGTGAACACTTTATAGCTCCCAGTCTGGCAACGTGCTGCACGCACCTGATCTGGCAGATTGTACGTTTGTCGTTGCGCTGTCTGCAAAAAATAAAATGAGTCAGTCACTCGGTCTATAGATTCCTTCTTGTATCCATTCGTTTGTGGCTCCTAAACAATGGTTTTCGGTTCATTGGTCATCAATATGTTCAATAAGATGCATTAGTAGTTTGTCACTTGGGCTTTTTTTGTTTCTAGTATATCTTAATGTCGTTGTTGTTCTTGTTGCTGCTGCAGTTCTCGAATGATAAATTATGTCGACTGCCATAAACAAAAATGCTGGCTGTTTATTCGAATTGGAAATGTATTTTGTAATTACTCCAAAGAAAACAGCGTTTTTTTGCTTGCTTCCAGTACCGAGCCCTCTGTTTGCTTTACATTATACTTCATTAACGAGAACAATTAAATTTATTATTTACAAATCAACGTAACCTTAAATTCCGTTAAATACATCCATTCAGGCACTTGACACTCTACACACATGCACAGCTCAAACAACACAACAACAACGCATGACAAAACACACACACACATATTTATGTACATTATAATTGTTTGTTGACTGGTTTGCTTTGCTCACTGTTCTTGTATAGACAATGAGGGACCTTGATGACATTAAAGGACGAGGAGACTTGATAGCAAGAGCAAATAATTGTGAAGTAAATAATTGGGACCATTGTTGTTTGTTTTGTTTCCATTTCAAATTTAATTAATTATGAAATGCGTCCTGCTTTATTCCTTTGTCTCACATATATTTTTTTGGGATATTCTATTCACATACATAAATCATTCGCGTACACACACACACACTCAGACGTTACACAGAAATTAAACTAATCCCCCCACTACACATAACTACTTTTTAGTCAAGTTCGCTTCGCTTTGCGCAATTAGAGCATCTAATTAGCATTATTCTGTAGAATTCCATATTTTACAATGCGAGTTTTCACTTTTTTCCACAATATTGGTAAGATATGGCCGTCGATGTTTGGAGTGTTTTTTTTTTCTGTATAGGTTTGCTCATTTCTACCATATACATAACCAACCATTCGGACACAGCACAACAACAAAACCCAAAACTGAACGAATGACTGACGTTTTCTGATTTTTTCTTTTTTTCTTCATATGTAGATACACACACACCACGACACACAATAGCTTTGCGAAAACCTTACTTTTTTGTTATAGATTTTTACGAATCGCGGATTAAGAAAATTTCCATTTTTTGCGTATTTTTAAAACTAAAATAATACTAACGGCGTATTATTGTTACCGAGTTCAACACAGCAATGCTTAGTATTTTACTTTTATTCGTTTTTTGCAACAATTTCTACAATATCTTCTTCGAAGTTTCTCTCGTCAAGTAGTCACAGACGTACAACGTACAACAATCATAAATACTTGACAAGACGCATTTTCCAATATTAGTGTCAAATTTGTGCTATAGAGGGCTACAGATTAGACTGGAAAATTCACATTTTCAGTTCTTCCACCAAAAAATACTTAATAGAAATGTTAATTATTCTGAGAATTAAGGTTACGAAAGTGAAGTTTGAGATTGTATGAAATAATTAATATTATTATTTTGCTTGCTTGCTTTATTTGAGAAAAAGTGGTTATATGTGGAACGACTGCGCGAAATGAAAAATCGGAACTATTTCGAACTGGTTCATTTATCAAGTTCCTTTAGTTGAGTTCATAAAAAATTTAACATAGCGAAATATGGATATTTCGTTTAGAAAAGACAGTTATATTAATGGTGTTTTTACACTATATGTATTTTACATATGTGCTGTCACTTTTTTCATCCATATGTAATTCCTTATGTGTGTCAAAATTTGCAGCGTACACAAAACTTTTATTTTTTGTGTTCAATTCGGCATATGTATTTTACATATGATATAACCTATAAACAAAAAACACTTTTATTTTTTCTTAAATCAAAATAATTTTTTTATTAAACACCAACAAACGAAATAATAATTTGTAATTGTTGCCTTTTCATCCTTTTATTTGACTTGTAATAGAAATCTTTTCTTCCAACAATGTGTTTCATTCAAACAGCTGATTTCCTTATATTTCCTATTCGGAAAAAATACATATATAATTGCATATTGTTTTGACATTTTTTTACATTGAAATTTCCGTATGTTTCACATGACGAGTTTTATATATTTGTTTTTTTCTTCTCGTAGAAATATCCACTAGGAAATGAAAACATTTTCGAGAGATGGGAAATTTTAACAAATCAGTAATAAATAGTTAAGGTGAGGTATTCTATACTCCAAAACGGCATTTTTTACTACGTAGTTCATTTCTTTTCCATGTATAACGTATTTGTTAAAAATGAGGTATCGCATAAAAGGGTGAATCCTGAATCCGATCGGATCTTCCAGGAGAAAACGAAATTACAACAAATTCCGATGAAAACATGTAAAGAAACGAATATGGGGGTACCTTTATATGGAGCTATCCCGAAACATGAATCAAAACGCCAAATTACCCAAAATACAGCCAAGTTATTTCGAGGTATTGCAAACAAAATGACAATTTTAATATACACTCCAACTTATGGTGAAGGGTATAAACGTCAAAAAAAAAAAAAAAAACATTCCATAAACACATGTTCTGGAGCAGACCCAATGTCAACTCTCGAAGGTAAAAAAAATTAGGTAATATGCATTTCACATCTTAGTACCAAACATCCATCTGTATAGGAAAATGAAAACAACTTAATTTCATTTTAGACATCACTTTTAATGTAGCATATTGGTCATTGGAAGATAAATACCAAGAAATGCCAAATGAGATATCAAACAGCGGTGTGGTCTGCACTTTTTGAAGACTGGTATTATCATAACTGCAGTTCATTTTTTTCTCATTTAAGATGGTCTATTCTGAGTGACTGCGTTTTTGTTCACCCTTGTTTCCGATTGTATAATAATTTTCTCTTCTTGTTTTAAAATTGTAAATATTTAGAGAATTTGCTTTATAAATATATATACAGTGAGTGTAATAAGTATTTTGCCTCAATACAAATTTGACAAATTTCTAATATATACGCCTAAAGCCATCATACTAAAGATGTAAAATGAATTATGTATGATAGGATATGTTTGTAGACATATTTAGATCTTATTTCTGCAAGAATCACTGCGAAAGACCTATTGGTCTCGAAGATATCGGCCAAAATCTATACCATCCCAAAAATGATTATCACAAAAAAGTATTTTGCTTTTTATTATCATTTTTGAAAAAATCATTGTATAATACACGCTTTGTCTTTTTATAGTTACCATTGCGGGTAACCACATACTAAAAGCGATTAGGCGACGATTCCAATAAACCAAGGCATTTTTTCGCGAATATTTTCTCATAATTTACGTTCAATACATTCTCTAGCAATTTTTCATTTAATATATGGTTATTTCTCGTCCTAATCTTTATGGTCAAAACATCCCAAATAACTTTAGAATTAAAAAGGAGGTTTTGCAAAATATATCGCGAGGACAATATATTAAAACCAAAATCCGAAAAACAAATTATTAAAAAAAATATCGGCAACAACTTTGAAAACTTTATGGTCCATTAATATTGATCTAGGAACCAATATATGCGATGAAAATAGCAATAAGAAGGTCAGATTCTATGATATGAACGGTTTTGTGGCAATAGAAATACAGCAAATTTCGAAAATAAATAGATCGACCAGTTTATTCACTGATGCATTTTATTCGCAACTGATGGTGTTAAACGGATGTAAAATATTGACTGCGTATTCGTCACCAGCTACCACAGTTTTTTAAAACGCAATACTATTTGACGAAGAATGATGTTTTCTCCCAACTACATGTAATGCTTGTAGTTTCTGTTGTTTTAGAACTGTTCATTTCTTTGAATCTGACCACCTTATTGCTATTTTTCATCGCATATATTGGTTCCTAGATCAATATTAATGAACCATAAAGTTTACAAAAAAAAAAATGGGGTTTCGCGATATTTTTTTTAATAATTTGTTTGTCGGATTTTGGTTTTAATAGTTTTTAGGGTCCTGTCCTCGCGATATATTTTGAAAAACCTCCTTTTTATTATTCTAAAGTTAGTTGGGATGTTCTGAAGCCGCGACGACCATATCTAATACTCTCATTTTGAGATTAGGACGAGAAATTACCATATATTAAATGAAAAATTTGCTGGAGAATGTATTGAACGTAAATGTGAGAAAATATTCGCGAAAAAATGCCGTGGTTTATTGGAATCGTCGCCTAATCGCTTTACCCGCAATGCTAACGATAAAAAGACAAAGCGTGTATTATACAATGATTTTTTCAAAAATGATAATAAAAAGCAAAATACTTTTTTGTGATAATCATTTTTGGGTTGGTATAGATTTTTGCCGATATCTTCGAGACCAATAGGTCTTTCGAAGTGATTCTTGCAGAAATAAGATCTAAATATGTCCACAAACATATCCCATCATACATAATTCATTTTACATCTTTAGTATGCTGGCTTTAAGCGTATATATTAGAATTTTGTAAAATTTTTATTGAGGCAAAATACTTATTACACTCACTGTATATATATATATTTTTGGTTAAAATGCACAACTGGGTGAGAATATTTTTCATTTTCGTATCTTTAAAATTTCCTTTTTGGTAAAAATTCCAGTGCATTTCAGAGAATATAAAAATCATTTCACTCAAAAATTATCATTATGTTATGTCACCATATTGTGACATAACATAATGTTATACCACACCGACATCTATATTTCATTTGCGACTATAAAAAGTCCCATCTTATATATTTTATGTCTTTGTTTACTTTTTGTCGATTCATTTGAAACTTATTTAAGGAGTTTTATTTTTTCAGTCAAAAATAAACTCTTTTAGGGATTTTGATTTTTTCCGTCAAAAAAAAAAAAAAAAACTCATTTGAGGAGTTTTATTTTTTCCGTCAGAAAATAAAACTCTTTTTACGTAAATAAACATAAAGAGTTTGTTATATAAGCTATGACCTTATATTCAGGGGAATGTTTCTTTAACTAATATTTTATACACTAAACTAATTTTTAAAATTGTATTACAAATATTTTTACCTTCGATCTTGATCACTTATGTGTATATTTATTGTAATAAGAACAGTGATTTATAAATTGTAATTTTATAACTGATAAGAAGTTGTAAAAGTTTATTTACGTAAAAGGAGTTTTATCTTCTGACGAAAAAAATAAAACTCCTGAACGGATATTTATTTTTGATGGAAAAAATAAAACTCCCCAAACGATTTACATTTAAATGGCAAACATGTTTTGAGAACAATTTTAACATATCACTCAAAGTTGGGAGCCATATTTTTTTCTGAGAGAGCTTTCAAAAACTACATTTTTTCCAGTCGACTTTAACACCATCTATAGCAAAAACTTGGCATTTTAATGGCAAATGCATTTTGTCCAGTCTTTGTCCAAAGACATGGAAACCGTAAAAACTCGACAAAATGCATTTTGACAAAATAGTTTAAGAAAAAAGAGGAAAAGCCATCTATTGGAAATTGTTTACGTATCGATTGTCGTATCTTTATACTTTTATGTCTTTGTCGTATCTTTATACTTTTATGTCTTTGTCGTATCTTTATACTTTTATGTCTTTGCTTTCCATTTTATGTCTTTGCTTTGAATTATATGTCTTTGCTCGTGTCTACGATAGCATTGCCATATTAAAATTTAAATTATAGTCCGAATACTGTGAATTCGATAGGTTCGTGTCTACACTAAATTTCCAATGACATATGTCGACGTATTATATTGTCTACAATTGCAAACATTACGAAATTACGACATTACGAAATTAGACAAACTGTTATAAAACTGTTATACTATTAATTTTCATCAAAATTTTTTCCAAAATTAAGATTTTTTGATTGATTATTTTTTTGATTTTGTTGATTGATTTCCGCGAAAATTGGATGGAAAAACAAAAAAAAACAATGTTTTTTGTTCACGGATAAAAAAATTTTCCGCGAAAATTTTTATTATCCGTAATTAAGACACCAACTTTATCCAACATTTTCGATAAAATTTTTTATGAAAAAATCGTCAGGTTACGGTATCGTATATCGACGATATTATCGTATTTTTCGAATTTTTGTCTTTATTTTTATGTCTACAAACAGTTTATTGTTGCAAACAGTTAAATTAAATACCCAAGCGATTAGAATATCAAAAACTTCATACACGATTAATAGGTAATCTCTAAAGACCGATATTATTATATTCTTTAATTTGCAGTGCAAGATGTGGAATTTCATCCGTTGCTTAAATTGCCTCTGGGCCGTTATACACATCGGTTGTTTTGTCAGTACACTCACCGTCTGCGATTCTACATCGGATGGTGCACGGTGACTGGTGCGGAAGACTCTCACTTACACACCACAATGGTTTGGCCAAGGGCCTGCTTCAATTTATAGCTCATTAGGCAGATGCCCGCAAATTAGGAACGTCTACTTCGTTCGAAACATCAATATGTTCTCTTCGGAGAGTGGATGACTGCCGCTCAGCCCATTTCACATGTCGTTGTTAAGTTCAGAGTGACAGGGCGTTGTGAGCAGAGCGTCGTGTGGCGGATTGCAGACCATGGACCGCTGTTGATTTTGTTAAAAACTTTACACTTGTGTTCAATGAAGCACATTTGCTCGAAAGACGTCGTGGAGATAAGAAGTAGTTCGCCGGTATCGAAATCGTTAATAAATCGAAATATATGCGCAGGCGCATGATACGCGGGAATCGAATGTAATTTTGAATATTTAAAAAAATTCATGTGCTTTGCCAGACACCAAAATCAAAACAAAATCTAACAACGCGTCAGTAACCCAGTCAGCAAGTTATCGTCGACGACCACCAAACCCTACAAGCAGTCTCCTCCAATCACTAGCTCAATACAACCTGAAGGTGTGTAAATGCGTAAAGAAAGAGGAAACCCACGAAAGTTGATAAACAAGCACCCAAAACTGTCGAAGTTTTCGTGTACTCGTAACGGCACCAAATGACCACATTCGGACATAATTTAATTAATCTTAAAACAAAATTTTGCTGAAAACAAACGAACAAAAGAAAAAAAAAACGAAATCAAGTAAAAACACAACGACCGAATAAAGTAAAAGTGTCCTTGAAATAATTAAAGTACATTGCAATACTCGAAAGTGAAGGTGGTATACAATTTTCTACCGTCGTGACGTAGTATGTAGACAAATTACAAAATTAGATAACAGTTAGATTTTCTTAAATTTTTAATTTTTAAAAACAAATATTGAGTGAGTAAGAATATACATTACGATGTTTTTTGTTTTTAATTTGTGCCCTTTTCGGAATTATCTGGTAAAAATGGATTTCTTCGGATAATCGTATTTGTGTAGCGTTGGAAATCGAATGCCTGTGGTGTGAGGTGTAGCTTACAATAACACGAATTTGAATACTAAATAGTTTGTAATGTGGGGCGAATGCCATTGCACAAATTCCGCGTTTTAAGAACTGTTGCATCCTTCAGACTTAGCATATGTGGACAACAATTATATTCACCAGTTTGATAAATGGTTCGATTCATTTGGTATCTATCACACAGAATTGGGCCAGAAAAATGTCAAGGTCTCCATGAGCACACACAAACATGCAACCCATTCAAATATAAATTTGAGATCAATTAGGTTGGTGTTAGCTGCCAGCAAACAAGTCACTTTATTTTCGATCAATATGAAATTGGGTCTCTCACTCGCCACAGCAGCAGCAGCAGTAGCAGCATCACAGTCCACATCCCTCATTATGATGCAAACTCGTAAAGTAGATACATTTAAATCTCAAAAATCTACCATAGTTAAAAGCACCACAACGACAACAACAACAACAAGGAGCGTGCGAAAATAGATGGCCACAAGTGATTAGTGTAATATCTCATTTAAATGTCCATATCAATTCCATAGCTGTATGTATGAACATACATGCATGCTTTTTTTTTTGTATGTATTGGTATTATTTAACAGTCACATTGAAATGAAAAAGACAAACAAACAAACAAACCATCTCCGTTTAGGGGCAGCAAATAACGAAATCGATTGAAATGGGGGAAAACCGGGGAATAATTTAAGTAATAACACTAAAGATTGATTGTTCGTCAGCTGAGACATAGAAATTTCGGTAATCGTCGTCATCCCCATATGAGGCCTTTATACATTGGAACACGGGAATGTGGCAAATGATGGAGAACAATTGCCTAGCTATATAAAAAATAACAAAGCTCGGAACAACCAGGTGACAATCAAAACAAATCATTTTCCAAAATGCATTGCAAGAGTATACTAGTAAACGTTCAACAACCTTTAACGATTTCCTAACATGTGAGGATAAACTTCAGTTGAAAAATAGGACGAAATTTGTGATCATATTTTATGGATCCGATTTGTTTAATTAATGCCACTATATGTAGAACATTTTTGTTAATCCGTCCTTCGCATTAGAGCTTGCTTTGTTCGATTTTTTGTATTTCTCAGACACATTGATAGAACACCCTAGAAATATGTTTTTTTTTGTATTTTCAATGTAGGCGGTATAAACAGATATCAATACAATTTATAACAATGGACACAAATTCGTTTGAAGGTGCAGCCTCAATTCGAGAAAAAAATACCGGTGTTACCGGCATTCAATAACATCAATTGTTGTAGAACGAATGGGAATTATTACCTATGGTTTGTAAAATTGCTAAACAATTTTAACCCTGACCATACCTAGGTCATATATACATACGCCTAATATACAAACAAACCCCATATACGTATGTATAGTTAGATACAAAGGTATCGGGTAATTGATTTTCAATGTCAGATAGATTTCGTGCAAAACAATTTCAAGATTTATAAACAACTTTTGACCCTGATTTGAAATTCTGTAAACTATGCGTTACAATAGGGTGTCTCTATAATGTTGTGGACCGTTTAAGTGACTGTTCTATTTTATGAAAGCCCCAAACATAAATTCAGCCAATAATTGAAGCCAATTTTGTGACGTGACGTATCATTTGCAAATTGACTCAAGTCTTTGTGAACACGATGGCGATTCGTGACCTTGAAAACCTACCAAATCTGTGTTTATTTTTTCTTTTATTACGAATGGTTGCTGCTAAATGTGAACAAACAAAAAAATACTTCAGAGTATATTTTGAAGGTTTTATTGGTTTTATTTTGAGCTGGGTGTGAAATTCGTTACCCTTGATGATATGAATGTAACCGAATTTGGATACTTATACAGTATTATTCAACGAAACATAGTGCATTTCTCCGATTTGAATGAGATCGAATATTGATTTAGAACTTACGGTCGTAAGTGAAAATAGATATCATTTCCAAAATTCGCTAAAAGAACAAATGACAAATATTGTTTTTCGTTGTACTTATTGACTTAAGCTCACATAAATAAATATAATTAAAGAAAAAATACAATACATTATTATTTGAGGGCCAAATTGCAATTATAAAATTAGCGTAAACAGTTGATTCTACAAAAATGTATGGATGCGTATAGAAATTTAGGTTTATAAATTGGGCGCCGTTTATATTCAACGCTTGGAATAGCGAATGATATATTGTCGTTAAAGTGAAAAGCGTGAAGTTTGGTAAGCTGCAATTAATATAACAATAATTACAACAACATTTCGCATTTTTACAAGGTAAACGTATTATTTTTTGCATAATTCATTATGCCTAGTATACAAACATGGAAAACGTTCGTTATATGCGGTAGTCAGTGTAAAAACGCAAATATTTTGCACATTCGTTATACCAGAAATCGTTAATTGAACGAACATTCATAGTGAAGGAATCCAGCCAAGAAAAAAACTTTCAAGGACAATGCTTGGAATTGAATTTCCAATTACGTAGCTAATACTCCGATGTCCATTGTCATCTGAACGTTTGGAAATTGATTTATAATTACCACGACATTTTTGTTCTTAATGTTATAAGACAACATGAAGATCGCTGTATTGCTTGTTCCGATACATCGCCACAAATTAGACCGATTGATTGCCTGACAACAGAAATATCGATCATTCGTTTTGAAGATAGATGGCGGTTGTTATTTATCAACATCGTTCTTAGGCGTACGTGAAAGATTCTCTTAAATCGTGGGGAATTCTATTCGAGGAATTGGCGTTCGCAAGTTTAATCGTCGAATCGGTTTGTGTACGGTCGTTTTCTAATTTACAAAAATATGCACAAACAATGAAATGCGACTAGACCCAATGGTGGTGGGGTGGGAGTGTGTGAACATCGAGATTAGTCTGTGGCTTTTTTCCGCAGTGATTAATTAATTGCCTGCAACGAGTGTGCATTGACAGCATTATCCAAAAATTGTTGAGTTATGCAATAATTTGTCACTGGATAACTCAAAATAATTACGGGTTTTGCATATACGACTGGCATTGTGAAAAGTAGCCTGCCAACGAAATCAAAAATATACCAATTCGAAAAGTAACCAACCCTAATGTCCACAAACCATCATGATGAGCTGAACACTTTTTTGTGGAGAAAGCTAACAAATTGGTTGTTGAGACAAATAGACGTAAACAAACTACGGTCTCTTAATATATTTGGACCTTATTAATCATAAAAGGAAGAAGTTAATTTAATGCTCCAAGCCATGGAATGGAAATTTGCCAGCCTGGCGTAGTAATAACATAGCTTATCTTCTGAAAAAAATACACACACACATCGTTGAGCAAGAAATTGATACAAATTTGGAGTTGTATTCATTCGCCTATTGGCCAATGCTTGAATTTAAAAGCATTTGGGTTGTTACTCGCCCGGTTCTAAGATCGCAAGGGCGGCATACGACCCTAAAATATTGGCTTCTTGTAATGTCCAATTCAGCCATACTTAGTTAGTCGTTACCAAATTAAGTTATTGAATATATATATTGTGTAAATTGACTCTGAAATTCTGCCCTCGTTGCATTCTACTAGAATTTAGATCTTGTTTAGCAATAGAGCAGAACAATTCTGTGCAAAATGGTTCGTTATTGCACCATCACATAATTGGCAATAGTACGTTAATGCCCCATCACCTTAAACGTAAAACGTTTTGTTTTCTTTGCAAACATTTTAAAGGGTGTTTTTTATCCATTCGATGGCCCTGAGGTGCAAAAGTCGGTGTTAGTATTAGAAAACAATGTTTGACCCAGAGAAGCAATGATACACTGTCGACCTTTACGTGTTGCCTGGCACCATTTTTTCCGAAGTGTGGTTAGTTTAATATTCGATTAAAACAACGCTTTAATCGCCTTAAAGTGATAGAGATCGTATTTGGGTCGATGTTAATTACCAGCAGAGCTAGTCTGCTCCCTACAAATACGAAGCGTCGCGTAAACGAAGACAAGCCATCTCTTTCAGTTGCGTCCACAAATAAGGTTTCCACATCAAATACTCAAAGAGCCAAGATACTGCAATCGATTTGGTCTATGAGGTGCACAGCTTGTTCGCCCAAATATAAGAAAGAAAGAAAGAAGCAATCATCGTCAACAGCTCCAGCTTGATGTCGTAATATTGACAGTGGCCAGATCTGCTCCCCCATTATAGATACTTTTAAAGGGTGACTAACCGGTTTTCATCGAAGACAGCGAAAGAAATAAAAACGCTTGCTCACGACTTCTTCGCAGCTGCGATGGATGCCCTACAGCGATCCAATGAAATGACGTTTGTTGGTCCGATCAAATGGTAGTCGAATTCACCAAACGAATGTGCGAAACAGTGTTTGCTCCGCATCTTTTTGTGTATGCGTTTATGTGTGGTCTGTAAATATTAACGAGGTGATGCTGTTGCTGGTGCTGCCGCTGTTCGGCTCGAATCTTTCTTCAGCAAATTCAAGGTCAATTTAAATGAGATCGAGTTCGAATTCCATTTGGTACATTTCCAAGTTGATTTAAAGGTGGGATTGAATGGGTTTTGTTGTTTGCGGTTAATGGCCAGTCAGCCATCTGCATAAATGTAAATTGTGTTTTCTTCATCACCGAAATGAAAACAAATATTGGATTTATTAATTTACAAACATACATATAAAGCTACAACACTATCTAGCCAAATGCACGTCAGTATAACCTGGTCATAGTTCAACCTGGACTTAAATACTTCGAACTACAAGTTTAAGTACACATGTCAATATGTGTATTATTCCCAGTCCAAATTTGGATTGTCAAACTCCAGCTCCCTCCGTAATACAAATAATTTGATATGGTCCATATATATATATATATTTTTTTGATAAAATATGCTTTGTACTACTACGATCTTCCCCACATAGTACAAAAATATACCGATCCTCTTCAATAAAGCCTTCCAAAATCAAATCGTTCATTTAGGTCAATTCCCACCTTTTCAGTTTTTATTTCAAATATTAATAATTTTAAGAATTATTTATTGATATCTAGTATTTTCAGAAATTTCTGGTACATTCGGACCCATACTGTCTACAATAAGGGTGGCTTTCCGAATGTTAGGTGTACTGCACAAATTGTTGCCGATATATGTCGATTTTACAGATTTTTTAATGTTATCTATGAATGGTTTTATCAAAGCTGTTCTTTCAAAATTCGACGATGTCTTAATTACGTGGCTACTTCAAAATCGTTCTTTTTTACAGAAAACCCGTTGGATATAATAGTTTTCTATCTTCACACTATTTCTCTTTCTCTAAGGGGTTTGAAAAAAAAATAACTGATCAAACCATTTTTACCGGTCATAGTCATGTTTTAACCACGTGACAACCACATACATATTATGCACGTCGAAGTAACCCCTGTACTATTCGTCCCTTATTGCAGATTAACTTAGATAGTAACATAAGGATGGGTAGACGAACGATTTGTGCAGTTCCATTGTGGATCACAGCGACAACATTGCTATTTACAAGCTATTCAGCATATGCCCTAAATAATCGGCAGAACGTCAGCTTACTCTTGAACCAAAACAGCTCCGTATTGGAATCGTATGCGGACCCGAAAAACGACACATTTGAAAGTGCCTCCAACGTCATGCACCAACAGACAGCACCAGGAGAAGATGTCATAGATTACAATGTTGTAGCTCCCAGATTCGAGGATCATTTGGAAAGGTCGTCGATAATTTATGGCCTGGTTAAGGTAGCCAACGAAAGTAATGTCAACCCCAGTTGCCACCGACATTTGAAGAGCATTCGCAGAGGGATACTACGAAAGGAGCCCTGGGCCATCAAGGGTAAGTATGTGTACAGTACATGTGTAGCTATATGTGTGCCAACTTGTCTATTCTCACAGCTTTGGATGCATCCGGTACCAAACCGTCGGGTTTTCTCTTTGGCCACAACTATTGGTTCGGCAGCAAAGAAGGATGTGGGGCTGTACAGAAACCTGTGGGAATTACGTTGTCGGCTAACCATCCGCGAATTATGAAGCAGGGTATAATCAACGACATCGCTCCCTTCAGCATGGACTACCGAGTGGTGTACTTGCGGCATAATTCGCCATGGCAAGTGGAAATCAAGCTGATGTCCGAACAAATAATTCATGTTGGCCTGTGCCTGCCATCGTCTTGTGACACACCGGAAATACAGCATCTAATGGCTCATTACATCAGAGAGGGCCTTTTCATTGAAAACGACATCTACGACATTCAGCCCGAGCTGGTGTACATGAAAGATTTGAAAATTGCACCGGACTTCTTTGAAAGGGAAAGCTTCAAACTTCTTAGTGTGTTTGTGGCTTTTATTTTGGCGATGGCGCTGATGGCCTCTTATCTCAGAAGTCGATCTCAGACCGAAACGGAAAGCCAGACGAAGTCACTCAATAATATGGATAGCCCGACGACTCCAACGGCGCACGGCCTTGATGAAGAAGATTTACTTTCGCTTTGGAATTTTCCGAAAGTGCGCAATTTCATCATGTGCTTCGACGTGCAGGAGAATCTATCTAAGATGTTTAGCGTGAGGGACACCAAGCCGACTGAGATTCCCATAATCAATGGACTGCGCTCCGTCTGCGCTGTGTGGATATTAGTGTTCCACGTTTTGTGGTTTATGTATTTCACCGTTCACAACAAGGCTTTTCTGATCTCCTACGCGGAGAAGACATTCTTCCAATACATTAGCTCTGCCGCATTGTTGGTCGATGTATTCTTTACCATAAGGTGTGTAGTCGTTCCTGCGACGGGGCTCGTTGTCACCTTCCATTAAGAGATGTCCGTAACTATTTTCTTTTCATCATTATTTCAGTGGTTTTCTGCAGACCTATAACTTCTTCAGGAATGCCAAAAAAGTAGAAACGATCCGCAACAACACCTTTTACCAGAATGCCAAGCAGTTCCTCAAAATGACATTCCACCGCTATCTTCGGTAAGTTGTAGCTCAGTGTAGCTTCCCAGCGTCTAACCGAAATACCGTTCCCCTATTTTAGTCTAGTCCCGCTGTATTTGGTGGTAATGGCGGCTGTGGACTTGCTCTTTGCCTACATTGGCAAGGTTTCCGTCTATGACATACACGACAAATTTGATGAAAACTGTGCCAACTATTGGTGGCGCAATATATTCTTCATCCAGAACCTGTTTGAGCACCGCGACATGTGCGTCAACTGGACTTGGTCACTCGCATGTGAAATGCAATATTTCCTATTGGCTACCGCTTTGCTCTTCATCTACACCAAGTAAGTGTTTGGCACGTGATCCGTCCTGCAATGTGCTGACTTCCACATCTCTTTTCAGATACCCGCGGTTCGTTAAGGCAGTAACCATGGCTTTCTTGGGCGGCAATATTCTCTGGTCGTATGGCATCGGAATGAGCACCAAGTTCCAGTTATCGTTCGATACTATGTTTGCCACGGGCACTGATATCTACATCAGCCCCTTCGTCCGCATTCTACCGTACATTATCGGGGCCATAGCCGGGTGGGCTTTCGTGGAGTACAGACTACGGCCGGCGGATCTCAGTGAAATGCAAGAGAAAAGCTGTTGGCACCTGTCCATATCAATATTCTTCGTGTGCATGTACTCCACAATCAAACGGGATATTTCCACCATCATGGCAATTACCCTGTTCGTTGTTGGACGGATCCTCTTCAGCATGGCTATAAGTTGGATGATAATTGGCAGTGCCACTGGTCGCAGAACGATGTGGTCGCGATTTCTGGAGGCGAAACCTTTCCAGCATTTCAATAGGATATCGTACGCCATGTACTTGCTCAATCCGTTTGTGATTGCTCTGTTTTTCTCATTCACCAACAGCAGCACTGACGCGGATCCCCTAATGCTGGTAAGTAGTACTGCCCTGAAGTCATGGAATATCCTCCTTAAATGTGCCTTTTTCGTTTGTCCATTCCGCAGTGTGTTCTGTGCACCGGGTTCACTGTTATAGTTTACGCGATCTCTGTTGCATTTTCTGTAGCCTTCGAAGTTCCGTTTTGCAACTGGTCAACCCAACTGCTTAAGGGCAGTAGCAGCAACACTAGCACCAGCAACAACAATACTGTCACCACTGCCGATATTAGCAGTTCGAAGCCGAAAAGCTCCTAATTTGTTACCTTGATTCCGTGTACATTGTTGTCTACGCAAATCATTGCAACGCATTGTGATCTTTCATCCACCTTCATTCCGTTACTCATAAGTCTAACCATGTTATTGAACTAAGTCATTAGTAGCCTAGGCGGTCCCATTAGAGGACTTTTATTTAACACAAACCAAGCATCCAACACTAACTATCGAATAAGTTATATACGAATTAATGTATTTTTATGGTTCTATTTTTTATCGAATATACAAATCTTGATCAGGGATTAGAACTCATGCCACATACCCGTATACAAATTGTATCTCTACGTAGTTATCGCAACTCTAACCTGAGTGTATTTACCGCTTGATGAAATAAATTAATTTAAATAAATACCAATACATCTAAACACTAATAACAGAACATTGCTGGCTCGGCGTGGAATCTACTAAATAGGAAGCATGCATTCCCAATATTCGATATTAAATTGATTCTGGGGAATTTCCTTGACTCGTGTAGTCAAGGATGATTTTCGGTTACGAGATCAGACTGTAAGTACATACCTCCGCTCGTCGAAATAACTGTTTTGAGGAAGCAAAAAGCATCCTCCCATACATATGTCCCGCACAAGAAGGGCATGTGTGCATGTTCATACAGGTACAGGTTTGCTGGTAGGAAAACAATCTGTAAAGGGCGGATTTGTTTTGCCCAGTATCTGTCGTCAAACCGGAAGAATGTGTTGCATTGCATAATCTAGCCCGACAACATGCCTTAACGTATGAACGTACGTGTGTATACGTGTAGCTGCGTACTGCATTGGCAACGTTCCATCAAGGCTTTGTTGGAATGAGTTCATTGATATGATGTTTCGATTGATGTAATTTTTTGATCACCGTACTGTGGCTTTTAAAACAATTCAAGTTACAAATGACATACAGGGGAGAGAGGGGGTGGCACCTTTGGACACTTTTTTCCTCTTAAATGCGTCCATTTTTTACTTTATAATTTTTGTTTTATAAACTTTAACTAATAGGTACATATGTAACCTTTACAATGAATATATGGCATAGAACATACTTTAAGTTTGATATAAATATTTTATTACTGTTTTAATGGGCGAAGTAAATATGTTCAAAACTGGGGCAGCTTGGCATTTTTGAACGCCATTGTTTTTTACAGTGTTTGTGTTCCAATATATATATATATATATATATATATGTATATTAATAAATAAAGTGGAATAAAAACCAACATCTTATTATGCCATTTGAGAAATTTTGAGAAAAGTCAAAAGTTAAAAAATGCGTTTTTTACTGGAGTGACACTTTACGGAAATTGATAATAACTTTTTTTTGTAGGAAATAAATACTTTATTTATGTATGAAGTGATTGTTGGAATGCAAAAACATGTTTAACGAAAGAAAGCGATCACCGAATTCTTCTTGCGCCACAGAAAATGCAATTAAATCCGCGATATTACAAATAATGCAAAATTTCGTGTTTTATTTTATCCGAAACATAAAAAGTTACTGTCCGCGGGTACCAATATCGCTCAAATGACAAATATAAAAACTTGGCCGGAAAAATGATTTTTTTTAGAAATTTGATCGCATAATGTTTACCCTTTTGGGTGAATATTACTGGGAAGGTGTGCATATTACTTACATAAAATATAATATATATCAGATTACTCAGATTCACGAGTACAACAATCAAATAATAGTTTTCTGAAAATTCTAATTGTGCATTGAAACTAGAAGTAAAATTCAATAAAACAATAAACAGTCAAAACTGAGCAACATTTATAGGTAGATGCAGATAAATTGTCGAAAAATTGTACATACGGCTTGCACTTTTAGTTTGGAACGAAGGAGGTGGTACGATTGTCTTATTCACAAATCAAGAAAAAAACATAAAAAACCTAGTTTACATATAGACACAGCTTGCACGTAAATAAACTTTGGAGGTCAATACCACGAAAAGGGTGAAACTCGGCTTCAGCAATGTTAAAAATTGGCAATATTGCCCATATATAGTTGAGTGTATACCAGAAATGCAACGAGGGCTACTATCGCCATCTGACATTTTCATTGAACATACGTTCAGTATGGTTTGACGTACGACCATGTGTAGTGCTGTGTAGAGTAATTTGACGACAGTTTTGCCACTGAATAATCAGGCATGCGAACTGATAATGCTAGATCCGTGAGAAAGAGGCAACCAGGGACATTTCTTCCACCACCACAACATTAAATAATCGCGCAAAAGCGTAGAACTATCAACTATTAGTGGTAGACCATAATGCAAAATATGAAAATATCCCATACAAAATAAATGCATATCTCCAAATGCCAAAATTGTATAAGTGCGATGATAAATAATAGATTTCGTAAAAAGACAAATTGTTGTGTATTCTCCCCTGATTTGTGGCTAGACTACACAAACATCCGGTGTTGTGAATGTAGATATTTTGGATCCCGTTTCGCATCAACGACGTAATCTAGCAAATAGCAATCTAGTAATTTTTTTAGTACACACATACCCCATAATTAGCTATAAATGACATTTTGTCTATTAAGAATACCCATTAGCACCAGGGTTTTAATGTACGATTTTCGATACATCCATTGCACCCGAACCTTATATACATATGTTTAATACAATTTACATTAAATTCTTCCTCCTTTTGATATTCCGTACTAATTCGAGTTCGCCAATAATAGGGTGGATGGTAACGCATTTCCACAAAATTTCATTAACTAAATTTTCTAAATAACAATACATGTCTCCCCCTTATCAGACAATTTGACACCCGTGTGGTCAATTCTCAGTCGTAATGTTGTTTTTTTAATTACAACAATGTACACTTCGTGGCATTTAGCTGGAAACGCTTATTTTACATTTGAAGTACTGAGCGACGCACCTCGCTTTTCAGATTCTGATTGAAATTAAACACCTCTCCGAACAGTTTCTTATTCGTCTTTGCAAACAAATCGAGCGATGCAGAAGCACCACTGGCAAGTTTTGTTTTAAAGAGCAAAGAAATGCAAGTTTTGTATGTATATAATGATCATCGATTTTTCTTTGTCTCATGACAATGTTCTCAAGCATCACATATGCAGTTGTTCCATAACAAAACCTTTCTTCCTTTGGGTTTGAAAATAGTAATAAAAACCACATTAATATTGAAATCGTGTCAAGTTAGCGAACATAGTCATTGATGTTGGCTAGTGTGTACTCTGCTTAAATGCCATCGAATGGAGCTCAAATTTGTTTTACCTCAAAAGATAAGATACCAAGTTGGGTAGACACAAAATCAGTAATTACGAATAGCACTAAGACATTTTTTTTTTACCTAGCTGAAGCCGAGCTTCGCCTCTTAATAACTCGGGTATTACTTAAGTATATGAATAAAAGTGAATAGTTTTGGGTTAATTGGTCTGTCATTGCAAAGTTTTCATGATATTGACCTCCAAATTATATTTGGGTGGAAGCTGTGTATATTTTAATTTAAAAAAAATGGGTAAAAACAGGTTGAGTCGAACCACTTTATTTATGTTCTCGATCGATTTGTGATTATTTGCGTTTTCTGTGGATCATTGCCGCTGCAATAAATGACCTGTTACGGCTTTTGAACTGTTGCGAAAGAGAGGGATACCCAATTTATCTCAAAAATAGTGTGAACTGGGTCATCCATGGTTCGCAATGGACCGCATTGAAATACGGTACTTCAATGCAACGTGTAGTACATCTTAGTCGTCAAATGAAATTTCGCAAAATAATCATGGATTGGAAGATAATCTTCAGTATTCCATTGAAACCGCATGCGCATCAAATGATTTTGAGGATAACGTGATTTAGACGCAATTTAAAATTAACATATATTTCATATTATAGTTTTATTTTAAGATTTATTCATATTTGTAGAAATAAATATTATGACATTATTTCTTTTCGCGGTTATTATAATATATTCATATTCATATTTTACGAAGAAAGTCATACATCAACGTTTTCAGTCTCTATAATAAACGGCTTAATTTTAAGATTTTGTTCCTAAAACCTCGATAACTTTTGCGCGCACCAACCAAAAATTTCATCGCGAACGGATTCGGAGTCAGGCCATTTTTTCTATATGTGTACCTAAAATCATTGATGTAGAACGAAAACAAAAAGCCGATTTTTTTGAAAATGGAATATTAAAAAATTGGCAGTATGGACCATATTAAGCCCACTACCAACAATTTAGAGTGAAATATTAAAACATATATCCGTTCGGTTTTGTTGTTCAATAAAACCAATCTGCTTCGTAGATATCCAAAAATAGTTGCACGTATGTACGGAAATGAGTATACGACCCACTCTGTTATACGCTCTCTTTAACGTGGTATTTTGTTTGTTCGTTAAACACAAGCGGCGCTCTAATCGGTGGCATTAAATAGTGGCGCGTGTTATATAAATTGGACCTGCAACTAGTATCGGACATGAAACTATGACGCGCAACCATCGATCGTATTGTGGAAATTGAAGAGTTTCCGTTCAATCCGACGGTTATCGTCATTACATTCAAACCCTTTCTATCGTCCATTCGACATACTCAAATTTCAGCCGAGATTTCATTGGAAAATTTGTGTGCAGCGATTTTAATTTTCCACTTTCCATGGAATTGAAAGTGGCGCGGTGTGTTCCAAAGATTCAGTTGATTTTCGCGCTTGGCCTTGTGAACAGCAGCGGGTTTGTTCAGCACTTGTCTGAATCATGCGCTTGTTGAGCATTTTATTGGCCACTTTGTGCTTTCGGTTTGTTTGTCGCGACGGCTTAATGGCCGCATCGGAGCGTGTGGTAAATTCCAACCAGCAGCCACTGGCATTGGCAAAACGAAATTTCCTCGTTGGCATTGCAAGTTTAGGTGCAATGCACGAAACAAACAACACTCGATGTGGCCAAGAACTTGAAATGCTGCTTCAGGCTGCAACCGATCATAAAGTTTGGGCATTAAAAGGTGTGAGTGAGTGTGTGCGCGATGATGATAATTAAAACAAAAGCGGATGGTTTTATTCTGAGTAAATCATTGTAAAAGTATAATTCGAAAACAAATCATATGGCAAAGCATCTTTGATTTAATTACACTTTTAGAAAATATACAAAGATTAAAAGAAAGTGAAACAATCTTTTTAAAATCTAAATGGAAAATAAAAAATAAACAATCTGATTAAATATAATATCATAAATATTCTGGTATGGGATGGAAACGAAACCACATACAATGTAATGCATATATTGCGAATGTGTCCGATACATTATGGATACAATTTATTTTCATTTATAACAATTACATTGTGAAGCATATGTGTGTCCGTTTATCGACTTGTTTCCATGGCATATCGGGGTGTGCACTAACTGCTTTCATCAGTATATCCAACCTATCTGATGCCAATGGTGATGCATTGATGTATTTTTTATACAGCTCTAGATTATTTCGGTGCCCCCCCTAAATCCTTTACATGGGGTAATTACTTTTGGTTCAGCTCACCCGATTTGTGTGAAGATCTCAATCGGCCGTACAGCATAAGTTTGGCTCACTCTCAGCCAATTATTTTCAGCGTGAGCAGTCCTTTCGAATTGCATTTCATTGTCGCGTACATGAATTACACTTCGCCCTACACCATCGACCTGAAGCTACCCTTTGAGGTGAGTATGCTAATGCACCGATATGCGACAATTGTTTGTTTTTCTTTTTTTTCGATTCCTCAGAGTCTAATACATTTGGGCCTCTGTCTGCCTAAATCGTGCAACTCATCCAGGATACATGATTATGTCGATGAGTATTTCGGAAGGCATGCCTTTGAAACACAAGAGCAGTTCGGTCTGGAAATGAGAGCTGTCGAAGTGAAAATTCCACATTTTTCATGGTTAAGATACTTCACGAAAACTGCAGTTATAATATTTCTGTAAGTTGACAATTTGTTTACATGTTCGAGTGAAAGGCATTTTGACGCGTGCATTCGACGAAAATCCTTACGGTCTGAGTTGAAAAACAGTAAATTGATTTTGAAATATGTAGTCATTTTAAAATGTAATTCAAAATACGTAATTTTTACACCAAATTACGGCAACTAGGTCGGAATGTAATTCGCCAATTTTACAAACATTTCAAGATATATTTGACTGAACGAACACCGTTTAAGAGAAAAAATAAATGTTTGTAACGGCGACAAAATTCATTAAATCCTTTTATGTTCAATCCATTTTAATTAATTATTACGTTGTTACCCGAAGTCCTTTCAATTGAAAATTCTGCATAAGACAATCAGATTTACTAAATGAACGTTTTCCAAATTCCCTTAACCGAATTTGACTGTATGTTATCAGTTTGTGTTTTTATTCGGAGCAATTCGCTTTAATTTTATGCTTTACCTTGTTTTTGTACGACAGAGTTCAGGAGAACAGCAAAATTTAAGTACATGACACCAAGTTTCGTGGCATCACATTGTGACGATTACATTTTCGTACCCTCTACTAAAGAGAGGAATGTATTTTAGCTGTGTCACTTCGGAAGTAATTAATGAAGAGTTCGGGCCGTCCGAACGTAATCACTTTTTACTTGTTTTCATTAAAATTTCCATTTTCGCCCAGCATAATACTCATCATGTCCATATCGTTGCCAATTCTGGCGGAAATTGTTACAAAATCCAAGCACCGACTCCAGCTTCAGCATTCTCTGTGTCGAAAAAGTGTAAAGCTCGGTGTTGAAGTGAGGAGTTATCAACAGCAAAGACAACAATGTGCTGCTGCTGCTACTGATTCCATTCAAAGGCAAACTGAAAGCTCCATGTGGGAACAGATGTTGATGTGCTTTCTCATCTCAGACAATTTTGCGACCGTTACCAGTCTAGACAATTCAAATCGTAACTCGGTGTTTCTGACATCGATGGCGGGGTTGCGAAGCATCATCTGTATGTGGATCACAGTGTTCCACGTCTACTATTATTCGCTGTTCGCCATGTCGAATACGCCGTTCATATTTGCCAAGCTGGAAAGATTTGCTTTGCAGCCGATAATGCAGGCCTGCTTCTATGTCGATGTGTTCTTCATAATGAGGTATGTATGTAAATACGTTTCAACTTGTTTGCAATTGTACGCCATTGATATCTCTCTCCCCCTTTCTTCCTGCGGAGTAGCTCCTTTCTCCTTGTTTTTAATTTCCTATCAAACAACCAAAAAGTACAGAGGATAGCTGAGAGCTCTTGGTGGGAAAATGTGAAAATGTTCTCGAAATCATTGTTGCAGCGGTACATGAGGTGCTGACAACATCGTGCACATGCATGCCATTTGATTCCATACTGATAAAACGAACTACTTCTTTCAGATTAACTCCAGTCATGGTTATAACACTGCTCTTGAGCACAATGGTCTTCGATGTGGTGAATATGTACACACCCTTTCGACTGGGCGATCATAGTGGCCTCTATTGTAAGACGTAAGTTTCCGGTTGCTTTTGTGAATAATTAATTGGTGCACTAATTTAGAACAGGGTTTGTTCGTACAGAGTCATACGGGTCAATTCAAATGCAATAGCATCCGATTACATAAGTAAGATAATTCTGTTCATTTTTTTATTACCGACTATAGCATATGTGAAATTCCGACTATAGAATGTGTGAAATTCAAACATGTCATAACATACTGTGTTATGCTGCATTATCAGAAGAGCTAATTAACCTAGCTCCATCCGTTCATCCAAATTCAAATTGTTCCAAATTTAGTACTGTTTGGAACTTTCTATATATATGAGTACACACTTCCACAACCACCTCCTTATTATCCACCTTGAGTCCCATTCTAAATGTCAAGTTTTTAGATTTATGCAAATGTAATATTTTTATATAATTCAAATTTAAGAGTACTACCTCTACCGGTTTGCCAAGTACAGATGGTACAGTATTTAGTAATTTGTTAGTACTTTTCGTGCCGTTCTAGTACGATTTGCCAAAAAACCAGCCTTATCTTACACCTTCGGACTAAGGGACATCCTCACCCCAAATTTCAATATTCTAGCTTCAGACGTTTGGTCTGGGCGTTGATGAGTCATTAAGTCAGTGAGTCAGAGTCAATCACTTTACTCTTTTAATGAAACGGTTAGCAGAAAGGTCGAAATTCTCCATCGATCTGTTTGCTTTCATGATAGGTTTAACCTATGGGTTGAGTTCGTCCTTGTTGGTTCAATGTATTCGGTCTGACACTTTCTCACAGCACCTGGTGGTACAACCTGTTATACATACACAACTTAATCGATATGGATCGTATTTGCTGCTCATGGACATGGTATCTGGCTTGTGAGATGCAATATTTTATTCTATTCAATGCACTTCTTTACGTCTACGCCAAGCAACCGAAGGTAACACAAGCCGTATTCGTGGGCTTTGCCCTGGGGTCAGTGCTCATCGGATGGATAAGTAATTACAGCAATGGGATATCTTTTGAGTAAGTGAAAATGAGAATAGAATTAGTGGCAGATGCACGTTCTGAACTAACATTAACATCCGTTGCAGGATCGATGTAATTTACAGTACCCTCAACCAATTGTATGTGAAGCCCTGGGTGCGAATACCGCCTTACTTTGGAGGAGCAATAATGGGTTGGGTAATGCATTGGCTGCAGAAAACAAATCCACATCACAGCGAACCAGAGCAGGTCGCTAGCGAGCTGCACGATCGCCCTTCAAATCGCTTCAGGACAATTGCAACCCAAGTGTTTTGGCTTCTGACTTTCATAATCTACATTGCCACCAACTTTATGAGCTATTGGCGTTCCACACCGTCGTGGGCAGTGGCCTCAATCATGTCGGTGGGCAAGTTAATTTTTGCGCTTTTTATCGGCGGCATTATCATCCAGTGTTCGCGTGGACACGGAGGAATACTAAATAGACTGCTGAGTTCTCGACCTTTTCTCTTTCTGAACAAATTTTGCTTCAGCATTTACATGCTGGCGCCCATAATCGTGGTTTTTATGTTTGCTTTGCGCAATGAGCCGACAAGCTTCACTGAAATTGGTTCGGGAGCGGATTTCTTTGCCGTCATAGTTTTGGCAATACTGTCCGCAATGCTTCTCTACCTACTTGTGGAGTTGCCCATGCAAAGGATATCCAATGTCTTATTGAAATAGAAAACAAAACGCAGTGTAAATAAAATTTAATGATCAATATGCAATAATAATAACAATAATTATGTATGATAAATAATTATGTACATATATAATAAACAAATATATGATATATGTCCTACATTTAACGAGGGCAAAGGGATAAGGTGTTTATTGTAATGTGTAATAGCAGAGGCACAGGTACGACATAATCTTACTTGTCTTCGACTTTGACAACAAGCATCCGCAAGCTAAGGACAATGAAATTAAAATCGCTTAAGGGAACCCCACCCATTCTCGATTTTAATTTTTCAAGATTTTCAATGGGCTTGTAAATGAATACAAATGCTTGTTAAGGTTTGTAACTTTGCACATATATAATTGAAGATTTAAAAGAGAAGAAAAATAATTTACAAAAAAATTTTGTTATTGTTTTGTTGTTGTTTTTTGTAATTAAAGAAAAGTCCTTATTTTTGATGGCGGGCATGATAACTCCTCACTGGAACATCGGAATCCGAAAATTCCAACGGTGTTAGAAAGAGTACATGTCTGGCTCTCGTATGAGGATTATTGACTTCGCTCTAAAATTAACAAAATGGTGGACCTTTGAAAAAATATTTTTGGAAAATCGCCGATTTTTTACCAAAAACCAAGTTAAAAAATAAGGAAGATCTTCACCGATTGGCTTTACCCTAGTTCATACGAGAGCTATATATTCCCAGAGAAACGTTGCAAAATTTGGAACCGATTGGATTATTAGTTTTTGAGTTATCGTGCCCGCCATTCGCAAAAAAAAATTTAGAGAAAAACGAGTTTTAAGTTTGAGAAGCCCTTCAGCCGCCACTTGAAGCTGACACAATAAATCGGCTATATCTTCAAAAGTTCTTGAGATTTTCACTTGAAATTTTGTAGAGACATTCTTTAATCAGTGTAGATTCGAATTATATCAACAAAAATTTTGACCCCGAGAATGGGGGGTGTCCCCTTAATTGTGATATACATATTGGAATATCTGCGTCCTGCAGCATGACAATTGGCAATTTCGAAAATTTCGACATAAAATTAAACGAAACGAATAATTCGTTATGTCGATAGGAACCCACAAGGGCAAATTCGACATAAACCAACGTTTTGACTGTGTGCAGCATTTGTGTTAGTGATCCTATAATCGATTCCCTTTTAAAGGCAAATTTAATAATTCAAAGACATTATTGAGTTAGGCATTAACCAAATTGTAATTATAAATTGAAAATTCGAAAAACTGGTATTCTCAAATTAAAGAGTGAAATGTATTGAATTGTATCTGAAGCTATTCGGAACTTTATTTCACGGACTTCGTGAAAGGTTAAATCCAAATAATTAAATTTAGACCGATATATTTAGCTGGGCAAATTTAATTTTAGCTTTATATTTAAATTTAGCAGGCACCAAGAAAGCTGGACAATTCAGCCAAGCCCGGCCAGGCTGTCAATTTTTCCATAAAGTGTCCACATATGCATAAAATGCAATAAACGTATGTCAAAACATTAAAAATCTTTACATGGCACATCATGTTGTGTTGCCGGTCGAATTGGTTTGTATCCGGACAATACTTTTCTAGTTAAACTCTGTCGTCCGTGGTCGAAATCCTGCTACAATTTATAAAGATCCTTCCATAAATGCGACCAGAAGTTCGATTACGAAGTGATACAATCAGTACCAATATTTCGAGGAGTTACGAACGGTTGGGTCAAAAATAATCATTGCACCCCATTGCAATGATTTGTGTATAGCTTCGATATTAACGTCCGTCCTAAAAGAGGACCTGAAGAGGCAAGTGTATTCTACGTGGTGTCACTAGTCTATTGTGGCAACTCCACCACCACCACTATTACCATACAAGAAAACAAAGCCAACTGAAAACGCATCGATTATGATCACCATGATCAACATTTCAGTTATGGTTTTACTGAACCTTACCGCGGGCGATAGTTATTACAGCGTCAATGTAATAAAGCCATTGATTATGATCTTTCATGGAAACGATAAATATCTTCGAAAACAGTCAGTTCACCCTTAAGACGGAATAAGAAGAGGAATCTTTAAAATCTCTAACAGAAAGAGAAAAACCTGCTTGTCCGCAGGTAGCGAAAGACACTTTGGCACAGAAATCCCAACGGACCGTCGACTCGGAGCCTTTAAAGGACAGACAAAAGGCATAGGGATTAAAAACAAATACAATAAAGCCATTGTCTTTGCTTTTAAGGGTAGTTTTATGGACTATCAGAAAATAAATCCTCCCAGGAAAAAAGGGAATGTTGCATGTGTACATTTTATTGTGAAGGCGCATAGTTTGACAAACAGGTAGAAAGGCTCAAATGCCTACCCCTGCCATGGGCAAATCTAAAAATACGCCCGTGAATGTGCGCGGTGATTTTGTCGGCTAAATGAATGCCTTGCACCATATTCGTCTTCCATTTGCACTAACACATGCACACAGCAAATTCCTCTGGGCAGCGATTCCTTGCAATGGGAAAAAGGTTTGCTCAAATATCATCACCCGCCAATGAACGGCATTGGCCGTCGCAAACAAGGTTTCAATACAGCCCCTTCGTTGTCTCTCAGTGTGCATCTTCTGGAATATGCCGCACACACGCATAAGCCAGAGCTGGAACTTTTACTCCTGGGCAAGTTGATCCGTTCATATTCGATAACGCTGATAGAAGCGCAATTAAAATGTCAATTTGCTCATTTCTGAATGCCAATGCAAATAATATATCAATTATTTTTTATGTGCCAGACAAAACATTTAGTTAATCAATGTTAGACATCAAATGTTCAGAAACGTGAATATTGCACGAGGGTGCTCGGCCACATTCCAGTTGAAGTGAATATTTTTGGCTTATTTTAGATATTGAACTCCCATCTCTGGCACTTAGTTCTGTCAGAGTATGGTTATTGTTGTTACCGTAGGAATTGTTTTGGCCCATATGACCGTGTGTTGGTGTATTCGAGTTTGTGTAGGTTTTCGTATGAGAGAGATCCATGGACGGATGCGTACGTACATGTGTTTGTGTGTGTACAATGATGTTTGTATGTACAGATCCCAAAATTGCCGGCTCTTTGGTTGCTGCTTTAAGGTTTATTTTTGTGCGTGTTCAGCATTTCTTGGAATCACTGCTAACCTTTAATTTCGAGAATTAAAACAAAACTCTAACCATTGAAAAAGATCAGAGGATTGGATCACAGCGCCGTTTAAATAAACAGGCCCGATCTTCGGTGACAAACATGAAAGGAAAGTATACGGACATCCCTCAATGCCGTAACATATGCATACATATGTATATAGATTGGTATACATAACTAAGATTTTATATTCAGCATCTTGAAGTACGGATATACGTTACGGACGGCGTTTTTATCATCGTTCAGTCTTAACCGATTTCTCCAAATTTTCTTATTTAAACTCAAAAATCGCCATCCAATACTGAACATTTTTATAAATTCATTAATGACTTTTAATTCTGTTAATTCTACCCGAACTACTACTGGATATTATTGAGTACATTCCATGAAGTCAGAACTAGCCGATTGTGTTGAAAAGTAATGAGTTCCTGGCGAATTTGATTATTTTTTAAAATATCGCATCTTAAGCATTGCACTCTATATCAAGTAATTTGTTGGAAACTATTAAAGTAGTAGTCAATGCTTAAAGTTTTGTATCATACATAATTCTCTTTCAAACCTTTTATAATCCAATATGTTTCCGAAATACAATAGTGTTTGGGACAACCTATGGTTTGCTGTGTTTGACGCTGTGTCGAATGTACCAGAAAGAGGTGGACCGACGGGTCTCATCTTTCAACATTATACTGTCATGGTTCTAATATTAGGTTGTGCAAAGTTTGCTTTAAATCGCATAGTCCGATCGCGTGATAAAGATAAAATATGTTAAATTGGATATTCTCTTCGCATCATATAAAATGTACAGTTTTTTTTTTTAATTTTTACCCCTTGTAAGGGGAGAAGTGGGCCGATAAGTCCCATCTTCCAACATTATAAAGGCATGGCTAAAATTTTAGGTTGTGCAAAGTTTCTCATGATATTACAAAATTAATTTTGACCATTGTTTGTGGGATGTACCAGGAGGAGTGGACCGATATTCTTCATCTTTGCCATAGTGAGACGGAATGCAAATATTGGTCGAAGAACCCATAAAGTATATGTCGGTCTATGGAAATCATCACAATACATGTACATATATATACCTATATATATCCCGAATTTTTCTGCGATAATGTCATAGGACGGCATTTCATTAGAGGATACAATTCCTCTTCATAGGATATTTTCAAAATAGGTCAATGTTTTGACTATCTCGCATGTAAATGATTGAGGTTATAAAGGTTAAAATTATTTCTCACTCCCAAATTCCTTTTGTAAAGCGAACATTTATAGATCCACATTGTCAAGATCATATATCTTATCTTGAACATATAGTTACGTAATATATTCAATATAAGTCATGATTATCTACATATAAGTTTGATCCAAAATGTTGGATTGATTACAATCGCTGAAATTTCGAAGTATAAAGTATATTCTTTGGCAAAACAATCATCAGAATAGTAACATAGTATATCTTTACTGTACTTTTGAAAACTATTCTGAATTAGTTTCGGATTATATTTTTGAAAATATTCTGAAATAGTATTCTCAATCTTCTTCAAGAATCCTTAGTGTTGTTGCGAGCAGAAACGTTGTTATACGCGTTTGCCAGTCTGCATCTTAGACCACACACATATACCCTCTTACATTGCGAGAAAATACACATACACACTCTCTTTCCCACTACCACCATACCACACCACAATCACCAGAATACGACACACACACACACATAAAGCCACACTACAAGTCGGAAAGAATTCTACCTAACCTTAACGTCGCCAACCTTATAAATTAACACACACACATACATCCAACACATATTTTCGAGGAAGTTTAGTGGGGTTTCTCATCACAATACCTGATTACTTCTCTTATTCTGTATTCCCAGAAATGGCTGAATTCGTTTATTCAGCAAAAGAGATTTATCTGAAACTACCTGCTGGCTAGCTCTCTCGCTCGCTCCATTGCCTTTCAGTGTGTGCGTGAGTCGACGCTGTGAAAGGCAAAGTGGTATTTGCTAGTTATAAACTGTGTCTCTGGCAGAGGGAGAGTTCAGTTTGTGTTACGTTGTGAAACAGTGCGGTATTGTGCGGTTGTCGGAAAAACGATTCATCCAGTGAGAACATAACCGAATATACGGCATTCATCAAATCCGAAGTGGAACCAGATAACACCAAATTTAAATAAAATCTAACGTGCCACACATCCAACGACAAAAATTATTCACAACATTAAAAAATTAAAAAGCAAGACGAAAGAAAAACAAAAGTCAAATTTCAAAAGTGTATTGAGAAATATTTGAAAGAAGAATAAGAAGAGGAATATTACTTATCGTTGTGTTAAACGAATACCAGTTCTTAGTGATAAGAATACAAAGAAGCTAGAATAGGAATTACGAAGGAGAGACAAGTGAAACGGTCCCCTTTGGCAAATAGCGGTTGCATTACAGTGTAAAACGACGAAAGATAACTTGGAATCGATAAACGTTGGGAGTCTTGGTTGGAACGAGAACCCTCCAAGCGCCCCTTGCTAGGGAGCACAGTTTGTGAAACTTACATCTTCTCAAATGGCCACCAATACGGAAATACTACCCTTCCATCATCAGACTACATTATCTCTGCAGACTGCCGCCGCTTTGACCAACTACCACGGGGGCGGCGGTGGCGGAGGCTCAAATGGTCTCCCTACGGCCACACAGTTGGCTGCAGCAGCTTGGAGCATGGACGATCACCTCTATCAACAGACTGAATTGCCCGGCCTCACACGAACAGCTCATCATCTGCTGCGTTTCACGCCGTATGCTTTGCATCATCGCCCCCAGCTGCAAACATTACCACCCGCGTTGTACCTCCAACATGCGGCGGCAGCAGCAGCAGCGGCTGCAGCACATGCGCAGCATCATCATCACCACCACATGCAACAGAGACCAGCCTCCCCAGAAAGTCCAGCTCCCGCTGAGGGCCTGCAAATCACGAATCTCTTTCCCGAAATACTAGAAATGATATTCGACAAATTGTCGGTGAAGGATTTGGGAAGAGCCGCGCAAGTGTGCACAACATGGCGAGATGTTGCCTACTCCAAAAGTATATGGAAGGGAGTTGAAGCCAAGCTGCATTTGAAACGATCAAGTCCTAGTCTTTTCAACTGTCTGGTCAAACGTGGTATTAAGAAAGTTCAGATATTATCGTTGCGGCGATCGTTAAAAGATCTGGTCATGGGAGTTCCGGCACTAACCTCTCTCAATCTCAGTGGTTGTTTCAACGTCGCCGATGTTAATCTGGGCCATGCATTTTCTGTGGATCTCCCAAATCTAAAGGTTCTGGACCTGTCGCTGTGCAAGCAAATCACTGACACAAGTTTGGGCCGCATTGCCCAACACCTGAAGAACCTTGAAACCCTGGAACTTGGCGGTTGTTGCAATATCACCAATACTGGTCTACTGCTGATTGCGTGGGGTCTAAAAAAACTAAAGCATCTTAATTTACGTTCCTGCTGGCACATAAGTGACCAAGGTATAGGCCATCTTGCAGGTCTAAACAAGTCCACGGCAGAAGGCAACCTTGAGTTGGAGTACTTGGGTCTGCAAGACTGCCAGAGGCTTAGCGATGAAGCATTGGGTCATATAGCACAAGGTCTAACGTCACTAAAATCCATCAACTTAAGCTTCTGCGTCTCCATAACCGACAGTGGACTTAAACACTTGGCGCGAATGCCCAAACTGGAGCAGCTGAATCTACGTTCCTGCGACAACATTTCCGACATCGGAATGGCGTACCTTACAGAGGGAGGCAGTGGAATTACTTCTCTCGACGTAAGTTTCTGCGACAAAATCAGCGATCAAGCCCTAACGCACATCGCACAAGGCCTCTACCGACTCCGTTCCCTGTCGCTCAATCAATGCCAAATAACAGACCAGGGGATGCTCAAAATTGCCAAAGCGCTAAACGATCTCGAACACCTCAACATTGGTCAATGCTCGCGAATCACTGACAAGGGTCTACAAACTTTGGCGGAGGAACTGACAAACCTAAAGACGATCGACTTATACGGCTGCACGCAACTATCGTCCAAGGGAATCGACGTCATAATGAAGCTACCCAAATTAGTCAAGCTAAATCTCGGACTATGGCTTGTGAGATGATGTGCTTCGACCCCACACACAGGTGACACCATAAAGCACAGGTCAGCGGCCGCAACCAAATTACGTTACCAACACCCCGACCAGGACGTGCAGCATCACGCCAAAGTTTTTGATGCATTTCTGCCAAGGAATAACGACGAACACTACCATCGGCACAGAGCCGCTGGTGTAGCCATTCAATGTACGCTACCGTCGCCGATTTACCGTAGGGCCTCTACACCAATCAACTGACGCACCAATCGTCAGCCACAAGAAGTCCTTTCTCCTTTCTACAGAGCAAAACAAGCACCACGGCTGCGACGATGACGATGCGTTTTCCCCGGAATTCCAATTCCGAATTACAAAAGGGCGTCAATACACTCAGCTTGACTCCGTTCGGCGATGCGCCAGGGCCAAACACACGGACACACATACACAGCCAAATAAGCCTGTACCCCAACCCACATTCACCAGGCTCGGGCGAGCAGACAGTCGATGGATATCTTTCAAGCCGTATACGAACAATACAAGTTTAGCTTTTATTTTAAATTTCGAATTTTGTTTTTGTTTCGAGGGCATTAGCATTTTTGTTGTTGTGCAGCTTACGAAACACCTTTGTGTGTTGCGTGCATGGGTGTGTGAGTATATGTGTATGCTTGCATGTGTTTAGCCTGGTGCAGGCTTTTGTAAGACGAAAAGCAAGCAGATATACCCGTCCCCAATTGATGCATGCGTGTAGCCTTACCTTCATGTCATTTCGACGTACGACGTCTAAGTTTTTGTTGTTCTGTGCTCGATTCAAGTGTAGCTACGGGACAGAAAGTAGTTGGTAGATATCGAGTAAAACGAGTCCTTTTGCATCAGAAACGTAAAAAGTTTGGGACACATCATGGGGAATAGTGACTAGAAGTACCAAAGCATTCGGAACGACGCAGGTGCACAGCGGTTTTCACAAAACAAAGAGTATTTCTTAGTTCGGAATACGATACTTTTTATCATTTTATACAACATACGTGGGTCCATACATACGAATCTGAAATTACGTCCGTCCGTATAAACCTGTTACTGTGAATTTCTACCCCTTTGCGTTGCGTTGTATTGCTTTTTTATTTCGAGACGTCTAACTCGAGCAATGCATCGAAGTGGGGATTAAGACAGGGCATAGTATATGCATGTACACAAACACACACACACTCCTACCTGCGTTCATGGAAATACGTATTTTTAAATTAAAACAGAAACTTCATAGCTTTCATATGCCATAACATAGAAGACGAAGAAAAAAACCGTCGCCGTCGTGTTTCACAAAAAGTAAAACTAAACGTCCAACGACAACAGCAGTGACGACGACGACGAGGAGGAGAACCACACCGTCTACAAACAAACATGCACACGTATGTATGAATGTATGTATCTGTGTGGAAGAAAAATGTGCTCAAAAGCAAAGTTGAAAACAGTTACAATGGGGAAACAATGTGCGAGAAGAACACCACAAAGAAGAAACGAAAAACAAAAACACAACAACAGCAACATCAATAGCAGCCTGAACATTATCGAAATGCATGCAGGCTCGCCAGTCAGACGGACGGACGGACGGACAGAAAGAAATACAGCTAGGGAGACAGTCGCAAACACACACACTCAAACGCGAAGAGTAACAGCAAAGCCGACACAAATACAGGCCAAGTCGTCATACACACCAGCCGCACGGACGGACTGAAAACAAACAATGGGACCGACTAAACCGGACCCGTATCTGACTAGAAACAAGTAACCAGAAACCGAGGCAAAGTACGATGAATATGACACGCCAAGCACACCAACAGAGCAGAGCAATTCGAGTATTTTGTTATTTTTCGTTTTGCGCTGGAACTGGTACCCCCCATAATAAATACGCTTCGTAACAAATCAGCAACGCAAACAAGAACCAGAGACGGGGTTATTCTGAAATGTTATTCGAATCAGTAGGGGAGGGAGTTTAAGTAATTTTTGGGGGAACGGACGCCTTTGCTGCCGGAGCTTTTTCGAATATCAAACCCCTTCGGCTATAATCTCTATTATTGTTGGCGCATCTGAGCTCACCTTGCCCATACTGCATTTGTTACGGGCTAGCGATATAAGTTGTCTCCTGGGTGCGGCGGTTTTGCACGGCAATGCATTTCACGTCGGGAAGGGGAATAGCTGGGCAAGCTTCATAACAATCGACAAAGTGGTAGAGGATGACAACAACAGAAAAGTAGCTTACGGCGCAACTGGCAAAACCAAAACAAATGACAAAGACATCGGTTACGATCTTGGCGGTCGGTCGGACACGATTACCTAAATAATAAAAAATAGACTCTCCAACCGTCTCCTCTCTTTGTTGTTAAATTCGGCCTGCTTTTCTTATTTGGGGACGACACAGCGACTCCCTCCGACCTATTACATTTGCTCCATGAGCACAGCCATTGGAAGTGATTAATGCGCATGTGCGTGTGCTGCAACGTGTGATCTGTTGGTTATTTTCGAGTCAACGTCATATTCCAGTTGCGCCGTTGTCTTTGTACCCGATTTGAAGTTTCAAAAATAAGAATATTTCCTTGTAACTGTTTTTTAGTTGTTGGTTGTCGGAAAATTACAAGCATGCAATGTACCCACTCACACACACATACACTTATACACTAAAACATTTATTCAATTTTACGCATGTAAACGAAACAAGCGATACTCTCAAGTGCTTTATTCCTTAGTTTCGAATAGGGAGAAATCGGCTCTCGCCACACAGAAACATTTGTAAATATACGAAAGAAAGGAAGGAAGTCTTCTCCAAATTCCTTGCAATAATTTGTAAAGATCGAATGGGGTAACTTGTATCCTTAGTTGGTTGTTCGTCTTAGTCCACTAACTTTATCCTGACACTAGAAACGGATAACTGGATTTGGCTCTAGTTTTATGTGTTGTATTTGGATGAGAGCTGGAAAAAAAAAATAATGAACATCCAAAAATTCTTTTTTCTATTGTGATATATGAAATTATAATAATTATTAATGAAATATGTAATATTTTAAGTTAAGTATATTTTTGATGAGAACATAACAATAACAACAACCACAACAACAACAAAGCTAAACTGTTAGAGAGAGCAATGAGGACTGTTAGTCAAATTGTATTATTTTTATTTTTGTGTATATGTATTTGCCAATGTATGTAATTGTATGTATGTATAATTTCTTCTAGTTATATATGTAGTTTGAAAATCGAAACCAGTTTGAACTGAGGCCATTCCTGTTTCATTTCGAGCCTGGTTTTCGATTTCAGCACAGTTTGCCTTATTTTGTTCATAACTACTTTGTCAATTTATGATTTATTGTATTTTGTATAATTATTTCATTTTCAAGAACGACGAAAAAGAAAGGTCCTAGTTTTATTTTACAAGTTATTCAGGTTATCTTCAACTAAGTTTTAGTTCTTATGTAAATCGTATTCTAATTAAACATAAAACAATTGTTTAAGTTTGTTTTTTAGTCTAATCCCTATTATTAAATTAAATTAAAAAAAAAACAAAAGAAAAGAAAAGAAAAAAACAAGAAAAAAAAATACAAAATGAACTCAATACAATATACCAAATGAAAATCATCATATAAAAAAATCTATTTTTCATAAGTGTTTTATTTGATGGCAAGGGGAAATATTAATATTATAAGCAAGTGAACAAACACGATCCGAAAAAGTTCGGCCTGGCTGAACTTTTTGTTCTCTCCGAAATTACAATTTTCCATATTTGCATTAAATGGACACCCAACAAATATGGAGTTACAAATGACAGGGAAATTGAAATGGATGGAATGGGTAGACATATACGAACTATTTTCAGCAAGAAAAGTCCCTATCAAAAAAAAAAAAAAAAAAAAAAAAAACGAGAAATGCCAATTAAAGCAGAGTATATCTATGACTAACAAATTTCTGATTACTGAATCTAATTTTAAGGAGAGCCTATAAAAGCTGTTGAACTTACTGTCCATTCGGTTAGAAATGCCCTTAGACCTTCAAAGTACTGAAACTCAAAAGGTGGTCGTTGCAAACCTTTATCCTATACCAGAGTTGGGGTTGTTAACTTACAGGTATTTTTATTTCGCTAATACCAATGTAAGGTCATTGCTTCTACACGAATTTATTTCGGAATTATGATGAAAGGTGGGTACTTATGTAGGTATTTACTCCAACTTATTTCTTTGCACTTTTCCTGGCTCTTTTATAGCAGTTAAACGTTGCATTTCACCATTGATTTCAAATAAAACGTTATAGATTAATCATTATCGATTTAATCTAATTCGACATTATCTTATCCTCATTCCTATTTTTGTTACTGTAATGCCTTTTAAGCGTTGCATTTCGTAATACGCACCCTGGTTATAAGCTCTTCAAATTTGGTCTACATTATATGCATCGATTCAAAATAAGTTGACACCATTCAATGACATTTATTCACCGTTTTTGTAGTTAATCGATTTCCTTAACGTAATTCCACATTTATTTATTTATATAAATCTAGCACATTGAGAATAATAATAATGAGGTAGTGCTAGCGGTACGTTGAATATTTCAAGATAATATAATGGATAAAGATGTAATAAAGATAATAACAAAATAAGCGTATTAATAATTTCATGTAAAATATTTTTGTAATTCATTTTTGTTGTAAACTGCTTTAACTATGTCGGTCTTCGTCTTCCCTCAAAGATTTGTGAAATATGCGAAGAAGAGGACATTTAAGAAACCGATTTAATCGCGTACATAAATCACGACTAATTTCATAATTGAAGCATCTTCGGTGTTAGCTGAAAGCGGTGCACTATTTGTGCTATATTGTGGATGTATTAAATGTTTCTAGAAGTGGAAAAATCGACTCGTCTGAAAATGTTTAGAAATTTAAACACAGTTCGCAATTATATTGATATTTTTTATAATGATCCCTTTCCGATTGATTTTGGGCGAAGATTTGTTATCTGCTCCAAGGGCCTAAATTATGATATAAATTCTTTGTAGTTTTATCCT